ATACCGTAGTGAGCGGATCGCCGCTGGGTATTGGTTGTTGGCGGTAGGCTCACCTTGCTCTCATTGAAAGTAGTTGTAGTTGTAATAATATACAGACATGGGACCCTCAGCGGTCACCCAGAACCTCTGCGTTCACTTGTCTGTATTTGCATATGTATTAGAAATAGACAAGGGATCCTCTGCGATCACTTAGAACCTCTGCGTTCACTTGTCTTTGAGAAACGAAAGCGAACACACACAGCCTCTGTCGCCACCCCAATTACTTAAGGTAATTTGTCTTTGAAAAGAAAGAACACCAATAAAAGCATGAATTTAATTTAGAATCCCACTAATCATTTATTGTGTTTTATTTCTTGTATATTTTCTTTCCTTTACACACCACACACGCGTATCACCCGCACCGCACCAAACCTCTCACCTACACATCGCAATCATCTCACATAATAACTCTGGGGAGTTTTGTTGTCATTGCCGCTATCGAAGCCTTTCCCCCACTCCCCTGAGTTAAACACCTATAATACCGAGAACCCAAGGGATACGAACTCTTCAAGGGTTTTGTCTAATATACCGAGAACCCAAGGGATACGAACTCTTCAACGGTTTTTTTTGAGACTTGCACTACTCTGACTCACCTAAGGAAAAAAACTGCTTCGCTGGGTCTTGGTTCGTTTTGACTTTCACGCACTTGTCACCTTTGCCACTTTGATAAAACAACTGATCCCCATCCATCAATCACTTTCCTCTTTTATACCATTGTCCTGATCCCCTTCTGTAACAAACACCAACCAATCATCACCGACTTACTATCAGCATCACTTTGCCGAATTATGTTGTTGCTGCTTGTTATAATTATCAAATATCACAAAACATATAAACAACAATGAGGGCCAATCGATCAGGCGGGAAAAAATTCAGCGAGAGCAGCAAATTAAATGGGGAATTCATATTTATTCAATAATTCATTTTTCTTTTAGTAGTCTTGTAACATTAAATATGCATACATTTTTATATGTATTTATTGTTTTAAATAATAAAGAAAAGAATTTGAAAAACTTTCAAATTCTATTGAAATTTAAATTCGTATTTTGCAGATATGAGGATGAACAAATGTTTTCGTGTTGGGATAAAAAGAATTTTGGTTCCCTTATTCTGTCAAAACATATATACATTTTGTGTATGTGTGTGTATTGTTTTGAATAAAAAATTCAATAATTTGAAATTATTTCCAATTTGGTTGCAAAATAAATGCAAATTTTCGACGTAAATGGGTAACAAATTTTACAGTTTGATAAAAATGTAATGTTATTCAATCTTTTGGAATATCTCCGAAATTCCATTGTTGTTTCGCGGGTTTTTTTCAATATAAGAATTTTGTTAAAAAACAATACAAAGCTTAACTAACCGTAAAACATGGTAGAATAAAGTAGGTAAAGTCAACTGAACATCAGTGTCCAAAGACATTCTGACCGAATTTCACTTCTGAATTTGATAAATCTAACTTCCCCACGAACTGTTGGATTTGTATGTACTCGCATGTGCGTACTTAGTCAATTACTGGTGTGATCGAAAAATGAAAACAAATCATTTTTTCATTTGGTTTTGAACAGGACCTTACCGGAATTTTTGCAAAATCTTTTATTTAAACATGTTCAACCAATAATAAAAAACAATAACACTAATAAAACAAATTCACCGCAATATATGACTAACGAAATGTAATTGTACTGTATATTGTGGTTGCAAGTGTGAGGTATACTACAATTAGAATGGCGTTCAACAATTATGAATCTGTTAATCTGTCTAAAATATATGTTCATCAACGCTTTTATCTTATCAAGAAAATACTAAAGTGCCGATCTGCAAGTATAATAAAAGAAGAAATCATGCTAAACAATGAATGTATTGTGTTAGTTACCATTTATCATATTATAAGGAAAAATTATTCATTTCTAATATTACCAAACCATGGCACAATAACAGTATGTAGAATAAAGCTACCTACAGCATAGGGCAAGTGCGTCTAAGTTCGACATGTCCTAGTAGTCGGCAGTTTTGAAATTTTCACATGCAATGTCTCGCCAAAGGAGCTAGAACCCATTATGACATACAAATACCTATTTTCAGACAAATCAGTGAAAAAATGTGACAAAAATCATCAAATTACCGAACATCGGCAGGTACCGTTGTATGGGGCTATACCAAAACGTGGATCTATAATTGCAATGACTCGTTACACGAACTGGGACCCATTTTAATCTACAACTACCAATTTTCAGAGAAATTCTTGAAAAAATGTGTCAAAAATCATCAAAGTACCGAATATTGGGAGGTACCGTTATATGGGGACTATATCAAAACGTGGACCTATACATACAATGTTTCGCCACACGAACTAGGACCCATTATGACCCACAAATACCACTTTTTAGACAAATCAGTGAAAAAATGTGTCAAAAACCATGAAAATACCGAATATCGGGAGGTACCGTTATATGGGGGCTATACCAAATCATGGACCCATACATGCAATGTTTCGCCACCGGAGCTGGAACCCATTATGCCCAACAAATACCAATTTTTAGACAAATCCGTAGGAAAATGTCGCAAAATCATCAAATTACCGAACAACGGGAGGTACCGTTATATGGGGGCTATGCCAAATCATGGACCCATACATGCAATGTTTCGCCACCGGAGCTGGAACCCATTATGACCTACAAATACCAATTTTCAGACAAATCCGTGATAAAATGTGGCAAAATCATCAAATTACCGAACATCGGGAGGTACCGTACCAACCATTCTAGACACAATACAAATTGCTCTGCTAAATTTTGGCGCTCTACGTCAAATAATGTAGGCTGTATCGTGATTTCAACACACGGACAGACAAACAGACGGATATCATTAAATCGACTTAGAATTTTATGCTGATTATGAATATATATACTTTATGGGGTATACGACGAATTTTTAAGGATGTTACAAACGGAATGACACCACCTTTCCAAGGTGGAGGGTACAAAAATTAATGGTGGCGTCAACTTAATAAACAAACTAAGTACATTATATTTAATACTTTTGGAATCAGAATTATTTTATAATAGTAAATTACAGTCTAAAGATCATTTTATATTATTTAATGCCGACATTAGGAGCAGAAAAAAAGAGATTTGCAAGTAGTCGGCAGGGGGTGTCGATTACTAGAAAAATATCATTTTTGACCAATTTCACCAAAACTTGAGAAAAGTAAAGTAAAAAAATAATCCAAAAACTACTCAAATAAAAAAGTTTTGAGTAGGCAGTTGCTTTCATTTGTGCTTATTGACCAACTTTTCTAAATTAAGTAGGTTTTTTCAATCTGCTATTTGACGTTTTAGATAGCGGTGGTATTTTTGAAAAAAAAAAAAATGTTGGCTATCTAAAGGAAAAAGGTCAACTAACAAATTCCTAATATAAGAATGGTACTTTTTTCTTTTTTTATTTATTTTAATTGAAAATCCATACATTACTGAAGGTAACCATATATTCTTGGTTTTCAACCTATATTTGGTTTAGAATGATAATTAAATAAAACACTATTTAAAAACGAAATTAATTTCAAATTCTGGATTAAAATGTGATTATTTTATACTATTTAAAATAAAAAAATATACAAAATAATATATATTTTTTACTAAAATACCATATGCCGACTACTGACAAATAGACATGCCGAGCATTGGAAATGGTGCCGACTACTGGCAAAAAAACTACTATTTTAGTAAAATTGCAAATTTTGCCAATTTAATAAAAAAATAAAATTTTTATTTTTTCGAAAAGTAAACAAAATTTGGAACCTGAACAATTTTATTTTTCTGCAATTGAAGCATTTCACTAAGAACGTTGAAAGATTGAAAAATCGAAAATCCTAAAAGTGCCGACTACTGGTACACTTACTCTACCATTTTTTGCGCTTCTATTCTGTCAAAACATTTACTCAGTTTGTATAAGTGTGTGTATTGTTTTGAAAAATAAAGAAAATTATTCGAAACTATTTTAGACTCAGTTGCAAAAACTGTATATTTTTGACATTAATGGGCAACAAATTCCATTCATGTTATGTCTTTTCCTTTCAATATAAGCATCATGTAATAAAATCTAATATAAACAAAAACAATTGTTTTATTTGCTGTGCCCATTTGACAAAATAAGACTCCAGTACAAAGTTTTCATTTTTCGCAGTTCCCTTGAAGTTGAACAAACGTTCTTGTTGTGCCATAATAGCATCCATAGAAACTATAAATATGGGTATTGTGTTTTTATACGTTTACAATATAAAATAATTGGTATATCTGATGGTGTGTACTGCCTAGCTGGCATTAGGGCAGGTCAAACGATCATTATCAGTAAAACTGTGCCCTTCTTAAATTGATTCATACTTAACCAATAAAAGTAGAAACAGTTTTAGAAAATATTCATAATGTTAGCTGCCCTAATTTCAGCTAGAGAGCATTCACGGAAAAACATACCAATACGAGCCACTCAATCGAGAATCAACACCCACATACAATTTGTCCGGGACACATATTGGGAGAAGTAGTCCAGAAGGTATTCTATCTGTTACTACTGTTCCAAAAGTTACAAAATGACCAATATCATAAAAATCAACAATATTTTCATTACTTTCGGAAGATGTGATGTGTGTGAATATATTTAGCCATCAAATGGTTTTCAATGGTAGTTGATAAAGTCTACTCCTATACTCAGAGATGCCAACTGCTCCGACGTAAAAATATGTACAGATAATTTTTTATTAAAAAGCCGCATAAATCGCTACTGACTAAGACAAACAAAAACTATGAAAATTTGTAAAAAAAAAAAAACGCCACGAACTAACGCTTCTCGTTCCGCGGCTCGACGGGAACTCAATTTATTTACAATTTTTTCTATACAAATTTGAGTAATTTTTCATTCAACAATTTCCATCTCAAAATTGGTTTGACAGTTCATTATCCCAGCAGCTGTGTCGAAGCCTCTACCTATATTCTTCTACCATGAATTTTTCTTAACACGAAACCTTACATCTGATACATTTACACTTACTCATTAATGCTTGCTGTGTCTAAATGTATATTCAGCCCACGCACACAAGCGTTGCGAGTGATCGTAGAATGTGCCTAAATTGGAATCTATTTTGGTCATGAAATTTGTTACATTGTTTATGACCGATCCAAAAACTTAAATATAATTCAAAGAAGTCCACTCAACTTATATATTACTAAACAGTTTCTACAAAACTGAATAGTGGTGATTGCTAAAACCGAAGTAATCTACAACTAGAAATGCTCTAGACAGGCTATGCATATCCTGAACCGGTTCACATATAAAATTCGGCTGAAACTGATATTTATAACAACTGTCTGTAGCTCATATCGTACGAGTTGATTGTAAAATGGCGGCGCGCCGATTATGTCGGCTCAAATAGCCGCTAAATACCTAGAAAATTATAGCGCGCCCAGTTTTTCGCCAAATTTTGATAAAAAATTCAAAAAATAATATGAAAATTTTTTTTTTGAAGTACTCATTTAGTTTGTATTTATTTTTCTTGAAAATCTTGCCGCCGCCGTCAAATTAGATAGCGCACCGCCGCATAAAGGCACAAGTACATAAAAAGCTTGAAGTCATGACTAGGCATATTATTTTTTTTTTTCGGAATCGGCAATTGGTTACGCCGTCAAGACGAGGTTGGTACGATACCCTAACACTGCCTTTACACGGTGGCATTTTTAGCTGGCATTTTTATAAATTCTCTTTTAAAATTTCTGCGTAAATCTTCGCGCCTTTACACGGTGGCATTTTACGATAATAGTGCTTGGCATTTTTTCTGACATTTTATTTTATTCAGTATTTCGTATAGAGCTAATTGTTTGTAACAGATATTTATAAAGAAGTGATTTAAAATTAAATGTGTGAATCTAAAGAAGAAATGATGAAAAAAGTTATTGAGGTGTTAAATATTGCATTATTAACTTTTATTTTAACTTTTTTTTACTTTTTAATACTTCCAATTAATTTTCATATAATTCACTATACAATTCAATCACTAAAAACATCACATCACAATAAAAGAAACGCATCAAAAATTACAATAAAGAAACGATATGAAATGTCTAAATCATAAAAAATTCGGAAGAAGCAAACAGAGAAATGCAAAGAAAATGGCATGTAACCCTGTGCGGTGGCTTATCGTGCCATTTTTTCTTCTATCCTTGTCTCTCTACACCTTTTACCAACAAAAAAATGGCATGGTTAAAAAATGTCACCGTGAAAAGGCAGTGTAAGTATGCATGTACCATTGCTTTGTATTCGATTAGTGTTTATCGATAATTATCTTTTTCTTTCTTGTTTTTCATTTCTTTGCTTCTTTGTAGAGTTGTGCTGCGTCGCGTAAAATCCATTTTACAGCTGTATATTGTTTTTGTGAATGAAAGTGCATAATTCATGAAAGTTTTCAGTGGCGAAACTTTTGAGTAGAGCAGGTAAGTTTGAAAAATGTGTAAAAATGTTGTAATTTAGTCTGTCATTACTTAATTTAGGACAGACAAAGAGTTGGTGATTCTCGGTGTTTGGAGTGTTGCAAGTGTCGCATAAGTTGGAGGTTTCAGCTTTTATGAGAAATAGGTAAGTTTTTCCGTATGTGTGACCGGTGAATAGTCGATTTGTGAGTTTGATCTCTCCAGGTGGCATGTTGGAACCTGCATACCAGCGACGAGACGGCGGTTCTGGGGAAAATTGAGAGAAGTATGTGCCTTTAGAGATTGAGATGTTTTTATAATTTTCCTTCCATTCGTTCCATAGATGCTGATAGATCTGAGCATCTTTTACTGTAAGGTCTGATTGAATTATAGAGCCGACTTGAGCCGCATGTTTGGCGAAGAAATCTGCACGCTCATTTGCAGGTATGCCAATATGTGAGGGAGTCCAGATAATGGTGAGTTGTGTAATTGTTGAGTTATTTACTTTTCGGAGTATATTATTTGCCAGGTAGTTTTGAGTTGTATTTCGTGTTAGTAATAGACAAGCATTTTTACTGTCCGTTATAATAGTGGCCTTATTAATGTTGTCTTCCATGATAATGTCTATGGCCTTGTTGATAGCATGTAATTCTCCCATTATTGAAGACATTTTGCTAGGTATTTTAAAAAGGAAGTTTTGGTTATATGAGATGTTGCATACTGCACATCCGGTAGAGGCACTGGAAACCGAGGCAACAGTTGCCCAAATTGTATGACCTGTATTTTTTAACCTTTCAACTTTTTCTTGTAGGATCATTCGATAGAATTCATTTGGTTGGGTATTTTTGGGCGAGTTGAACAAATTTATGATGAAAGTGAATTTGTTTCCGGGGTGTTCAATTTGATTTACCACAACTTTGTCGAAGATGTGTTTAAATTTGGTTATTTATAATGTTTTGGTACAATTGTCGATTGCGACATTTAAATTTGATTAATTCTTTCGCTGCGAGATATTGAGATCGTTGTTCCGGTGGTAGCATCAATGCTAATGCATAGATTGCGTGGACAGGTGTTGACGGTGTAAAGCCAAGACTTCTTCTTAGCATCTGATTTTGAAAAGATGTAAGTTTTCTGTTCAAGTAAGTTGGCATATGAGCCATTGAAGAGATGCAGTACTCTGTTTTCGAAAAAACTATGGATTTTGCTAGATTAATAGCAATGTTTGGGAGTAGACCTTGTTTGATATTGTTGATCATTTTTAATGCATTTATTGACTTGTTACAGGAGAAGATAACATCATCATAATGTTCTTTAAGAGATAAACTGTTTTTTATGTGCCTTCCTAAAAACTTAATGCTGTTAACCGATGTAATTTGTGTGCCTTGTAAAGTGATGGAAGGAGTTTTTCTTGGTCCTTTGGCTACATACATAGCGGCGGTTTTATTGATATTGTAGTTTAGGTTCAAGCGTGATAAAAGATATTGAAATTCAGTGGCTTTTAATTGCAGATTTTGATTGGCCGATTCAAAGTTCTTATGCGCAGATAATAATATGAAATCATCCGCAAATTGAAACAGATGTGTGTTGTCATCAGAAATCCCATGTAGACCAAGGTATATAAGTTAAAAAGAGTAGGACTTAAACATTGAAGATTTCAAGAGATTCATTTCCCATAACGATAGTTCTTTTGCTTACAAAATTAATAATCCAATCAGAGATGTCACTCGGACAGTTGAGTTCGCATAGTATTTTAAGGAGAATTTCGATACTGACACAATCATATGCTTTTTCTACATCCAACGATAAAATAATCTCTTTCTCACCTCTGTTTTTGTAGTAATTTATAGTGTGCAGTAAGTTATTGATACACATCGAAGTGGACATATGTTTTCGGAATGCAAATGTATTTGCTGGCAAAATATTATTTTCGTCAATGAATTGTTGCAGACGTTCTTTGATCATTACATTTATTATTTTTAAAGGAACTGATATTAAGGCTATCGGTCTGAAAGATTCTAGATCTTTACCTTTTTTTGGTATCGGGATAATTTTAATTTTTCGCCATTCATCTATGATTTCGCACTTTTTCCATAAACAATTTATTGCTTCCAAAAAGTTTGTTTTTGCAGATTCCGCTAGATTATTTATCATTTCGTATGTTATACCGTCAAGGCCAGCAGCTGAGGGTTTCTTTTTGTTTTTGAGAACCAGTAGAAACTCTTCCATTGTTAGATTGGACCTATTATAAGTAGTTTTGCTGACATAATTAATTGGATTGTTGTCTGGAACTTGATCTCTGAGGTGGCATAGAAATTGTTTGTTGTTGTTTGGGGACCATTTGCTTTTGCTGTTTGATGATAAACTATTTTTGCACCCACGAACAAATTTAAAGAGATGTTTTGAACTGGGCTCCTTGTTAACATTTTGTATTTTATTCATGAAATTGTGTTTTTGGCAAATTGGACGGCATTTTTAAAGTTTTTTATCATGCTATGCATATCATAAGTTTTTTGTGCAGCTATCTGTAGCCTGTACTGTTTTACAACATAGGAATCCCACCAAACTTTAGGTGTTTTGTTTCCTTTTAGGGTATAAGTAGATTTTTTGATTTCACTTTTTATCACGGAATGTATTTCTTGAAAATTAGTATTTAGTTGGATTGTACTTAGCTTTTTCATTAGTTGTTTTTTGGCCAAAAAAAGTTTGACCCTTGCACTTTGTGTTGTTAATATTTAAAATGACAGGATAATGATGGCTTCCACCGATCATATTTTTGAAAGTTTTCCATTGAATTGGTAAAATAGAGTTTGTGAAAGACAGGTCCAGAACGGATCCACTCAAATCATTTATATATTTTTTTTAAGGTATAACTACCATCGTTTAAACATTGAAAGTTGGAATTATCAAAGATTTCTTTTATTGTTTTTCCACGCTGTGAGACAAATGAGTCACCAAATGCTGAGTGTCTAGCATTGAAGTCACCACATATGAAAGTGTTGCTTTGATTATCAAGTAATGATATTAATTTGTTTAGTTGTGTTTTTATAGTTGCACATCTGACTGAGTGGGGAAAATAAATGGATACCAGAGTTAAATTGTTTGTTAAATTTGTGGTTTGGCAAATGAGAATATCCAAGGAGGTTTCAAAAGTAATCTTTTTGAATTGTATATTTTTTTTTTGAAAAGTAAGGCTACACCACCATAATTATCACTTCTTTTTTTCGATACTATATTGAATCCTTGTATAGATGACGAGTTTTGACTTTCGTCTATATTAAATATTTCACTCAAAAAAAAAACATATGTCAATTTTTTGCCTTTTCAGAAAAAATTGGAGGTAATTTTTGTTTTTGTTTAAACTTTGCACATTGTATTGAAGCACGTTCATGATTTTAATAAAAGTTTATTGTAAATTTGCAGGATTTGAATTATTATTTGGCACTTTCCTGTTCCTCAAATGAGTTATTTATTTCCGATGAAAGGAGTGATTGCTGGAATTTTTTTAAAATGTTTAAACCTTCGGCACTATTAAGTGAGGTAAGGACTTTTGACATTTCTTTTGAAAATTGTGTTAATGCTTTTTCAATTTCAGATAATTTTGAAAAAGGTAGTATAGTTGAAGACGGATTGAGATGGTGTGATTTGAATCGAACTGGCAATGGCGTGATGGATTGGATTTCGTGGAGACGCAACTTTGCTATATTTTAATTTTGTTACTCTTTTGTTTATTTCTTCATAAACGCTTCTTTTTGGTGGTTTGTTTTTAATAAGAGGGGGGAAGGCATTGTTAAATTCATCATCAGAAAGGACTTGGAAACGGTTTTGGGATTCTGGATATTTTTGAACAACTTCTTTTCGTGAAAGGTTGGAAAGGGCCATTATGCTTCTTATATTTCTTTCAGATTTCCATCTTGGGCACTGCTTTGGGTCGGTTGCAAAATGATCAATACTATTACAGAGAATGCATCGAGGCGAGTTGCATATATCCTTGCACGTAGTTGTTGACAAACATTCTTTACATTTCTGCTCTTTGGGACATTGATTGGGGCATAGAATAAATTTACCACAATTTAAACATTTTTTCGTCGACCTGCAACGAATGGCTATGTGTCCTAACCGTCCGCAGTTTAAACATAAACGTACAGGGGAGACATATAACTCCGGTGTTATTTTTGTTCCGCACATAAGTATCTCCGTGGGTACACCATCATATATAATACCGATTTTTATGGTTTCGGAGTATTCTATTTTATTGTTTTCGGATTTTCTAGTGAAGCGGTATATTGAAACAACGTCCATATCACTATTAGCTTCAATTTGTTGTTTAATTGTAATAGCAGAAATACTTATTGGTACATTCTTGATTATATAGAACCGTTGTACAAAACGTTCTGGGATAAAGGCTTTGAGATCGATTTGGTTTAACTTTGGGTTCGTAGCAAATGAGTTGGCTGAAGTAGCATTGTTAAATGTTATTCTGAAAAGATTGTATCCAATGTTTTTGCAAGCATAGTCTGTAATATTAATCTTTTGAAATCTTGCATACAGGTGAAGTTCACAATTCTTTCTTCTTGTGCTAATTGGCGTTTCTGAGGAAAATAATACATGTAAAAGACCGGGATGGTATTGAGGATACAAAATGGTTTCTTTATTTAGAGAGTTGTAGTTGTGTTGGTCTGCCATTTCATTATTTGATGTAGGTTCTGTGTTTGTGTTTATTGGTTTAACAGGTGTTCCATTTTGGTTTTTGAAAGTTTTAGTTTCTGTGGAAATGCTTGGGGCTCTTCTTTTATTTTGTTCCCCCGGAGGAGGAGGTGGAATAGGCGGAGGAGGAGGTTCCCCTACTCCCCCATTTTTCAGTTAATGAAGGATTATTTTAACTTTTGTAAAAAAAATTGCAAAAGCAGGAAAAAAAACTCAAATTTGTTTATTTTTGTGTGTGTGAACGCGTTGTTTGTATATTTGTTGTTGTTTTGAAATAAAAGCACAGCGACCAGCGCGAAAAACAGTCTAATGTCAACAGATGTTGATGAGCGACGACTAGGCATATTAATGTAAAATTATAATGGAAAACGACGACAGGATTTTATTGCGGCTCTGTAATCCCTTTATGAAATGTCACAAAATATGCCTAGCCATGACTTGAAGCTTCTTATATACTTGTACCCTAAGCAGATTGAAGTCTTCGCGTGGCATATTTTGTGACATATCAAAAAGAGATTTCAGAGCCGCACTCGAATTCTGCCGTCGTTTCCCCACATAATTTTACATTAATAAGCCCAGTCAAGATGTCAAGCTGCTTATGTACCCTCACCTTTATTTTCAATCATCCCATCATAACATAAACAACACGATACTTCACCACCCTCTAGAAACCCGAGCCCGGTGACTTGGAATCTGCCCACCTAACTAAGATCACACTCTCCTTTTCTTCTCACGTCTTTAATCCCTTACAATATGTATGTCTAACCATACAACTGGCAAGAAATTTACATGTATTTTAGACCAAATAGATTGTAATTTTCACGCCTTTAAAGGTAATCTAAAACAGAGAGCTAAAATATTTCTCTGATAAGTTATGTAACGCTTGATTATGGAATGGAAAAATTTTGATTCAGGTAGGACAAGTATGAAGACAAGGTTTCTAAGATGAAACACTTGTAGTGGTTTTTATGTTCTAAGGAAAGCCGAAAAAATATTTTTATTTTTATAAAATCTGCCAACTGACATTTGTAAATATTTCAGATATGAACAGAAATTTCATTTGAAAATTTTGTCATATTCCATTTAGTAATTAGTCTATCTCATGGTAGAAGATTACAAGTAGTCGCATTGGAAGTGAAATATTTGATTGAAAAATTATTCAAATTTGTAAAAATTGTTTAAAAAAGCGCATATAATAACATCATCCGATTGGCGTCGTACGAGAAAATATAAACAAGTCCACTTATCTTTGAAAAAACATTTAAAAAATTGACAAATCAATGTTTTCAAGCTTTGCATGTTGCTGTATTCTTCTACCATGAGGCTACATCTATTGTTTTTCCATGAATATAATTCAGAAAACTGAAAGGAGCAGTTTAATGGGCGTAATCAGGAGACATCTGGGTTTACAAGCACACTTACACAGAGTGAGTTGTAAGGACTGTTGTACTTGAAGGGCATCCTGGGAAGAAGATGAAACTTTAGAACATTTTCATTGCCACTGCCCTATATGCTCCTATATCTGGCACAAATAGACCTTAAACATATTAGGGGTTTCGTTAAAAAATGTGGGTTTCATAAGATAAAATACTTTAACATATTAAAGCATGAATTAACAAATCCTACCTTCACACTTTTTACCTATATAGCGCACAACAGGCTTATGTTTATGACCATAAGGACGTGTGGCGATTCAGGGTCGCGCCCTTTTTTCAACCTATTTTAATTATAAGGGCTATAAATTATTAATACAAAAAAACATAATATATAAAAAACCACAATAGATAAATAATGACAATAAAACAAATAAATAATGAAACATATATAATTTTTAAGAGCTTATGCAGATTCAAAGTTCCAAAAAAAAAAAATAGAAACATATAAACTTTTAGTAATGTTCCCTTTGTGTGTCAATTTAAAATTCAAATGTCAAAATAATACTTTTACCCCTGTATATTTTGAAACTGTTTCCTGCCTTAATTGGTTTAGGTAGGAAACAGCACCACAATAGGATCCACTCAACCGAGAACAAGCACCAACATACAAATTATCCGGGACACATAACATGCCATATTGGGAGAAGTAGTCAAGTAGTCCAGAAAGCATTTGATCTGCTGTGGCGCAGTGATAAGCATGCCAGCTTTGCTCTCTAAGCACCTCGGTTCGATTCCCAATCCAGACATCACATTTTTAATACGAAAAAAATTGTTTGAATATTTCTTCTAATAAGTAAGAGTTCTATGCAAATGAGCATTGGAAAACGTAAATATAACAACAAAAAAAAAAAAAAATGCTTAAGTCTGGAGTAAAAAAAAAATTTTTGTTTTTTTTTTTCACTTCCAACAACTATCGAGGAAGTGACTTCCACGCTTATTAGAAAACTATCGCGGGCGTTGTTCATCTCTTCCCGAAGGATGCTCCTTCCGGGGTGAGAAAGCGATATCAAACGCGATGATTTCTATCGTGACTTCTAAGTGATTTGGGGGATAGTTTTTACTTGCTGGAAGATGTGATATGTGTGTAGATCTTTCCCATTAAGCAAAAACTATCCGCTGTATTACTAAGAAGACTCAACAAAGCGATAGAAATCATCCCGTTTGATACGCTTTATCACCCGGATGAAGCATCCTTCGGGAAGAAATGAACCACGCCCGCGATAGTTTTAAGCATGACTAAATAACGCTTACAGCGTTACTTCTAACAATCGTGAATGTCACTTCCTCGACAGTTTTTGAAAGTGAAAAAAATAGCTTTATTTTTTTACTCCAGACTTAAGCAATTATTTTTTATTGTTATTTTTACTTTCCAATGTACACTTGTATATAAATTGTTTTTATTAGCTGAAATACTCACACTTTTTTTGTTTCGTTGGAATAATGTGTAGTCTACCTTGCGAATCGATCCTGGCATGCTAACCACTGCACCACAGCGTCATATATTCCTCAGATAGAATAAAGTCTCATTTATGTCCAATAATTAACTGACTGAAAACTTTCGCTGTTTGTCCGGTGGAAGTCACAAGAAAGTGTCAGCACACGCGACACCTTATCTTATATTTCTTGGCGCCACTACGTAGTAACTCCGTGACGATAGAAAGTAGACAACAGTAGTTTATTCTGATTAGAAGCGTCGCAGTAGTGACATCTTAAAATGGAAGTGAGTTACTCACTCCCAAAAGCTTGCAGGGCTTCTGAATGTAAAGAAACTACTGTTAATTCTAATGGTATTGGTCATTTTGGAACAGTAGTAGCAGATAAAATGCTTTCTGGACTACTTGACTACTTCTCCCAATACGGCATGTTATGTGTCCCGGATAATTTGTATGTTGGTGCTAATTCTCGGTTGAGTGGATCCTAGTGCCATGTCTTGTGGTGCTGTTTCCTACCTATCAATCAATTAAGGTAGGAAAAAGTTTCAAAATATAGATAAGGTAAAAGTAAAACATAATTTGTATGGAAAAAGTAAGACGAACTCCATGTCCCGTTAATTCTGATTTGACTTTGTTTTGATACTCAACAATACGCACTTATAACAATCTTATTTTATATAACAATAACTTATTGATTATCTTATTTAGTATCATAGTATATCCATTCAATGATATTTACATTTTCTAACCTTTCGGATAATTATGTTCTTCGTAAATGCTTACTTTCAAAAGTTTCCACAAGGATAACTTTGGGGTTGTATATATATATATATATATATATATATATATATATATATATATATATATATATATATATATATACACCTTACCTTACCTTACCTTTTTGTTGTAGCATGTATATATATATGCGTATATATAAACTGGAATTTCTAAAATTATATATAAATAAAAAATAAGATCAGCAGACGTTCGAATCAGTGACATATCTCGCAGCAGAATTCAATTAAGAAAAAGGCTGTAAAATTTTTAACGTGCTGTAATTCGAGTTTTCCGGCACACGTTTGTCTGAATTTGTATTATTTTGACTTCTTATTTGACCACTAAAGGATCTAGGCATGTAGCAACGTTTTTGGAAGTTTTCTATCTCATTCTACAGTGAAATAAAATCAATGTATATAAATTATTTTTGATACGTGGTTGCCTATGTTGTAAAGTTTTGTCGAATTTTCCCTCAGGAAACCACCAGAGATCATTGCTACTCCGTTTTGGAATACACCAGCTTGTTAAATGCGAAGGTATGGAATTTGGTTTACTGAGAGATGGATTTCCTTTCATTTTCGTCAATCTTTGGTTTGTTATGCATCTCGGAAATGGACGATACCGATTTTTGAGAAAAGAATCAAGGGTTCCCTTTTTGGAATAGCTGTTTTGTCAGTTAAACCTTGCTCCCATAGCGTCAGCATTGAGTTTGGAAGACGATTGCATCCAAAGAATACAAATATTATGTGTTTCACTTTTAGCGTTAAATGGAACAAGGCCCAACTGGAGTGACTATGGAATTTTTGATATATAAGGTCGTAAATATGTCTCGGAATGTTAGCATGTAAAATCAGTTAAAGACTACGATGCCGCATATAACTTGAGCTATGTTTAGGACAGGAAAGACTTAGCTTCTTTGGAAGCCATATTGACTAAACCTTTGACCTTTGTCACGTGTACTAAATTGTACAAAAAAACTGTTAACATTTTTTTATAATTATTTGTAGTATATTTTAAATTACAATAAGCAAAAATCAGATTAGAATAGAAGAGAGAATTACAAAAAAATGTGAAGGGAGGGTAAAATTTACCACCACCGTTGTTAGGAGACGTTAGAGGAATATTGCCATCGCTTACACCAGCATTAAATACTACTAGGTGATTAGCCTTATGACTGAAGGAATCTAACGACATAATTTTTAAGGAATCATAAGGAATAGTGAAACAGCAAAGGGTTTCTACGCATTTCTTTGTTAAGGAAATGAATCGAGTTAATATCGAATATACTTTTTTTAAATTCGAAAACATGAAAATATCGGTGAGATTCTAAAAAAAACTGAAAATATATAATTATTTCCTCAAAAAGGAGACGAAATTTTGGGAAAATACCAAGAAAAATGTACTTTTGGCAATATTTTCTCCTACATGAACACATTATTTGACCTTAGTAATTTTTTTTTCATTTATAGACTTCCAATTTTATGCATGAACTACGGAAATTTTCGGAAACCGTTGCTCAAAAAGAAAAATTGTGTACATGTAATTTGATGATGTTTGATTTCGTATTATTATTTATTTAGACTCTTTTTTTACTCGTTTGGTTGCTGTTCATAACCGGTTCCAGTTTGTCTATCAACATGCGACGACGAGTTTTCTCAAATTCGGGGATATTTTCTTTTATAGTACGATATACTTGATTTGATCATTTATACAGTTTACATTATTCTATTTGCATCACTTGGTGAATAGTAAAAAACAAAAACGCAAATAAATGGTGAATCGCATTGCCACAATATGATGGTTGGGAATGAAATGTAGGCGGCGCTGATCGATCAATGGCAATGACATTGTCAGCGTTTACAATACAGGGCGCTTCCTATGTACTCTTCCAAAACACGCGCGACATGTTATGGTGGAGGGAACGTTAGAAACCCCACTCTACTTCAACACCGTGACACAATACACTATATAATAAAGGGAACGTTGGAAACCAAACTCCCCTTCTTTGTGGTCTTGACTCACGAATCTTGCTCATCGTTTCCAATGTCTTGTAATTTTCCCGTCAGATCGAGCTGAAATTTCGTAAGATATGTAATAAGGTCTTTTTGTCTCAATACTCGCAACATTTTTTTATTTTTAATCTTTCTTCGCTTTTCTGTTTTTTAATCACTAAATAGATTTAGTTGAAGGGTTTCCACTTTTGCACACTTTGATTGTTTTTAGATTATACACTTTTTCTCTCCATTTATATCGCATTGGCACATTATGGTGGGTGATGATGACATTAGGCGGCGCTGAACGATCGGTGGCTATGACATTGACAGCGTTTACGATACAGGGCGCCATCTATAAACGCTTCCAAAATACACTTGACACGTTATGGTGGAGTGAACATTAGAAAGCCCACTCCACGTCAACACTGTGACACAATACTCTGTATAGGAAAGCACGTTGGAAACAACACGTTACTTACTTAATAACAACAAACTTAACATATTTAAGAGCTGAGGGAACCTTAGAAACCTTTCTCAACTCTAACGACGTAAAACAATACTCGTGAAAGTAAAGGAAACTTTATAAACACCTCTTTACTTACAAGAGAACACACAACCTCCACAGATGTTAGAGTTAAGGGAACGTTAAAAACCCCACACAATTCGATCGCTTACACAATACTCTTAGAAATGAAGGGAACGAGGGAAACCCCTCTTTACTTACGAGAACACACAAACACTTCACGAATGTTAGAATTAGGGGAACGTTACAAACCCCACTTAACTCTAACTACAAACAGCCTATTCCACGATATGGAAAGAACATTTCCGTTCCACAAAAATGCATCAGAACGAAAAATTGTACGAAAATCAAACCGAACGAAAACGTAAGCATTTTAGTGGAATTTTGTGTCCACTATCTTTTTACGCATGCACGCGAATGCAAATGTCAAAATCAGCCACTTGTGTGTTTGCTGTCGTATGATTACAATTCAGGATTTTTTTTCAACATAAATATTGCTTGATTGAAAATGGAAACAAAAAGGTAAGAAAAAATAATAAACACAATTATAGTATGATAACAACATACATATTTTTTTATTTCCTTAATTCCAGCACGAAAATATCATCAACTGTACAGCTGCGGGCACTAGTTGAATATATGTAGGAGAATCCTGCTATCGCCAGAGGGGTGCCAACTTTTGGAAGCAACAAGCAATCCCTTGAAGACCACTGAAAAAAATTATGTTTCAAATTATATACCATGGGTTCTCCTCCTCGCACAATTGAAGAGTGGAAAAAGGTAAGTCAGAAAACGCGGTTTAATCTATTTGTCTAACCGGCATTATTATTTACGGACTTGGGTGGATCTCAAGTTCCGCACAAAAAAGAAAATACCTGAAAACAAAAAAGGGTTGCAAGGATAAGGTGGCGGTTTATACCAATTTGAGTGTTTGACGGAGCTAGAAACGAAATTGACCGGACACTTTTCTTATCGAAGTCAGCGGCACCAAGCGGTAAGACTTTTGGCTATGCAGACGACATCGACTACTGCTTTGTGGCATTGGTTACAACACCATCAGGACGTTCCAAGACCGTAGCAGTTAAGTGAAATAAGTTTTCACCATTTATCGCCAGAAACACATGTCCAACAACAGTATCAAATAAACGTACAAACCTGCACCATCACAACTAAACAATACCAATCATAGTTAATAGATGAAACAAATTTTTAATTATACATTTTTATTTTAATTAGAAATCAGTAAATTTTACAAATTTATTGCAATTTTTATTTATTCGAAGCATCTTTTAAATGCCTCCATGGTACATTTTGAACCTCCTCCACATCATCCATAAAGTATAGTGCTACAGAAATATTCATTTTTTAAGAACACAAATAATTCAAGCACTATCACCGCGAATATTATTTTGTTTGTTTATTTACAATTTGTTTGTTTACAACCGAACTGTCAGTTCAGGCAGAGCCAGATTAAGTATGGTTGTATTTTTTATTGTTTTTCGCGTTTAAATCAGTCATTCTGGCACTTTTTTTGCTTAAATTCGCAATTAATTTTTCAAAGGTATATATAAAGGCAACACTGCTTCACGTAAGGCTATGCGAAAGAAAGAACGAATTCTGATACGAAAGTGAGTGACTAGATTTCGTTCGCACAAATTTTCTTTCGATATCGTGGAACAGGGTGTAAATCGTTGCAGTAAAGTGAACGGTATAAACCCCAGAACGAAACACTAACTACTGCGGCTATGGGATTGAAATCAAATAAACTTTCCCTAAAATCGATATCATATGGCCCCAAATTAGTTCAGTACAAATCTTGCACACTATTTTTTCCTGATTCCATTTCATGCTATACAAAAGCAAAACTTCTAGTGATAATTATATTGCCTTCAATAGCCTGCCTGTTGATTTCTCCAAACATGTCCCAGTGCCACGGCGAAGGGAATCTGTTAGTGCAACTACAGTCCCTGTTGGCATGCTATCTGCGCCACTATATAGGACATTCGACCTACACACCTGGAAAAAGATTCTCTCAGAAAAGTTTTGTTGTCCTCGTTATTCTGGGGGGAACTTTATATGTCTACTCCTACTGAAAACTACAAATAATGCAATCACGCAACCCTTATCAACGGGAGTAGTTAAAAACACACTTGTTTACACAACAAGCAGCCAATAAACCCACCAACAACCATTCACACCATAAGCGAGTTATGCTGACTCAGTTCACGAAATTGCAGTAGCATTAAATAAATATCAGCGACATTTGTTTGTTAATTTTTATCTTAGATTGGAATTGTGGCAAAATAAATTTGATAGTTCTAAAACGGCTTTCAATTCGTGGAAAGGGAACCTTTATCTTTGATAATAGAAAATATAGAAAATTTTTTGGTATATATGAAAAAAGAACACTTGATTAACTGAACTTTAAACTCATGGAATTTGGATTGGACTGAGGGATGGATTTCCCTTCATTGTCATCAATCTTTGGATTGTAACGTATCTCGGAAGCGGACTCGGGTATACGATGCAGATTTTTGAGAAACGAAACAAGGTCTTTCCTCTTTGGTATAGCTGATTTATCATATACACCTTGTCCCCACATTGTCAACACAAGACATAAATAAATTCCACCAGACTACTGTAACGACGAGTGTCCTCCGGTCGCTGAGATACGCTCGGGTGCGTCACAGAATATTTATATTGAAATGACTGAGAGTGAAACAGGTAGTATGTTGGTTCACAAATACGGTATGTATCACTTTATTACATTCAAATTTTTTATATTGACTGTGGCTGTCAACTGATACTGTTTGCTGTTTCGATGGTCGTTGTACGAAGGCTGTTTTTTTGCTGGTACTTGTGGCTAGGCTTTGGCAAGTTTATTCTTCCCCAGGGCCACGACGGCTCTTTGACGATTCGATTTGTAAAACCTTTTTTAGTCAAATGGGTCGTAAGATTAGGTTTTCTCGCTTTGCTTTGATTCGGTCTTAACTTCTTTCACTGCTTATATAGAAGACCCAAGAGAACCCTTCATCGGTCTTGGTATCATAGGCCCACGGCGACACTTTGATTCGGTCCCGAATGTTTCTTTACTAAAGGCCCAACACGGCATTGTTACCGTTACAATTTTATTTTTTTCACTTTCAATATACAAGGCCCACGACGGCACTTGGATTTCACTTTAAGTCAGGCCCCAGACGGCACTTGAATTTAATTTAAATGCAGGTTTATTTCTTTTGAATATCCAAGGCCCACCACGGCACTTGAATTTCACTCAAATTCAGATTTATTTCCGTTTAATATCCAAAGTCCACGAAAGCACTTGGATTTTCACTTTAATTTCGGATTTCTTAATTTCGAATTTCGACGCGAAATTCTCGTTTAATATTTTAATGCTTTCCGTGACCCACGACGCATAATGGGGTGAGATCCTTAAAAAACGGAGATTTATTCAGGGAAGCAGGTTGGGAATGAAATGTAGGCGGCGCTGATCGATCAATGGCAATGACATTGTCAGCGTTTACAATACAGGGCGCTTCCTATGTACTCTTCCAAAACACGCGCGACATGTTATGGTGGAGGGAACGTTAGAAACCCCACTCTACTTCAACACCGTGACACAATACACTATATAATAAAGGGAACGTTGGAAACCAAACTCCCCTTCTTTGTGGTCTTGACTCACGAATCTTGCTCATCGTTTCCAAGGTCTTGTACTTTTCCCGTCAGATCGAGCTGAAATTTCGTAAGATATGTAATAAGGTCTTTTTGTCTCAATACTCGCAACATTTTTTTATTTTTAATCTTTCTTCGCTTTTCTGTTTTTTAATCACTAAATAGATTTAGTTGAAGGGTTTCCACTTTTGCACACTTTGATTGTTTTTAGATTATACACTTTTTCTCTCCATTTATATCGCATTGGCACATTATGGTGGGTGATGATGACATTAGGCGGCGCTGAACGATCGGTGGCTATGACATTGACAGCGTTTACGATACAGGGCGCCATCTATAAACGCTTCCAAAATACACTTGACACGTTATGGTGGAGTGAACATTAGAAAGCCCACTCCACGTCAACACTGTGACACAATACTCTGTATAGGAAAGCACGTTGGAAACAACACGTTACTTACTTAATAACAACAAACTTAACATATTTAAGAGCTGAGGGAACCTTAGAAACCTTTCTCAACTCTAACGACGTAAAACAATACTCGTGAAAGTAAAGGAAACTTTATAAACACCTCTTTACTTACAAGAGAACACACAACCTCCATAGATGTTAGAGTTAAGGGAACGTTAAAAACCCCACACAATTCGATCGCTTACACAATACTCTTAGAAATAAAGGGAACGAGGGAAACCCCTCTTTACTTACGAGAAAACACAAACACTTCACGAATGTTAGAATTAGGGGAACGTTACAAACCCCACTTAACTCTAACTACAAACAGCCTATTCCACGATATGGAAAGAACATTTCCGTTCCACAAAAATGCATCAGAACGAAAAATTGTACGAAAATCAAACCGAACGAAAACGTAAGCATTTTAGTGCAATTTTGTGTCCACTATCTTTTTACGCATGCACGCGAATGCAAATGTCAAAATCAGCCACTTGTGTGTTTGCTGTCGTATGATTACAATTCAAGATTTTTTTTCAACATAAATATTGCTTGATTGAAAATGGAAACAAAAAGGTAAGAAAAAATAATAAACACAATTATAGTATGATAACAACATACATATTTTTTTATTTCCTTAATTCCAGCACGAAAATATCATCAACTGTACAGCTGCGGGCACTAGTTGAATATATGTAGGAGAATCCTGCTATCGCCAGAGGGGTGCCAACTTTTGGAAGCAACAAGCAATCCCTTGAAGACCACTGAAAAAAATTATGTTTCAAATTATATACCATGGGTTCTCCTCCTCGCACAATTGAAGAGTGGAAAAAGGTAAGTCAGAAAACGCGGTTTAATCTATTTGTCTAACCGGCATTATTATTTACGGACTTGGGTGGATCTCAAGTTCCGCACAAAAAAGAAAATACCTGAAAACAAAAAAGGGTTGCAAGGATAAGGTGGCGGTTTATACCAATTTGAGTGTTTGACGGAGCTAGAAACGAAATTGACCGGACACTTTTCTTATCGAAGTCAGCGGCACCAAGCGGTAAGACTTTTGGCTATGCAGACGACATCGACTACTGCTTTGTGGCATTGGTTACAACACCATCAGGACGTTCCAAGACCGTAGCAGTTAAGTGAAATAAGTTTTCACCATTTATCGCCAGAAACACATGTCCAACAACAGTATCAAATAAACGTACAAACCTGCACCATCACAACTAAACAATACCAATCATAGTTAATAGATGAAACAAATTTTTAATTATACATTTTTATTTTAATTAAAAATCAGTAAATTTTACAAATTTATTGCAATTTTTATTTATTCGAAGCATCTTTTAAATGCCTCCATGGTACATTTTGAACCTCCTCCACATCATCCATAAAGTATAGTGCTACAGAAATATTCATTTTTTAAGAACACAAATAATTCAAGCACTATCACCGCGAATATTATTTTGTTTGTTTATTTACAATTTGTTTGTTTACAACCGAACTGTCAGTTCAGGCAGAGCCAGATTAAGTATGGTTGTATTTTTTATTGTTTTTCGCGTTTAAATCAGTCATTCTGGCACTTTTTTTGCTTAAATTCGCAATTAATTTTTCAAAGATATATATAAAGGCAACACTGCTTCACGTAAGGCTATGCGAAAGAAAGAACGAATTCTGATACGAAAGTGAGTGACTAGCTTTCGTTCGCACAAATTTTCTTTCGATATCGTGGAACAGGGTGTAAATCGTTGCAGTAAAGTGAACGGTATAAACCCCAGAACGAAACACTAACTACTGCGGCTATGGGATTGAAATCAAATAAACTTTCCCTAAAATCGATATCATATGGCCCCAAATTAGTTCAGTACAAATCTTGCACACTATTTTTTCCTGATTCCATTTCATGCTATACAAAAGCAAAACTTCTAGTGATAATTATATTGCCTTCAATAGCCTGCCTGTTGATTTCTCCAAACATGTCCCAGTGCCACGGCGAAGGGAATCTGTTAGTGCAACTACAGTCCCTGTTGGCATGCTATCTGCGCCACTATATAGGACATTCGACCTACACACCTGGAAAAAGATTCTCTCAGAAAAGTTTTGTTGTCCTCGTTATTCTGGGGGGAACTTTATATGTTTACTCCTACTGAAAACTACAAATAATGCAATCACGCAACCCTTATCAACGGGAGTAGTTAAAAACACACTTGTTTACACAACAAGCAGCCAATAAACCCACCAACAACCATTCACACCATAAGCGAGTTATGCTGACTCAGTTCACGAAATTGCAGTAGCATTAAATAAATATCAGCGACATTTGTTTGTTAATTTTTATCTTAGATTGGAATTGTGGCAAAATAAATTTGATAGTTCTAAAACGGCTTTCAATTCGTGGAAAGGGAACCTTTATCTTTGATAATAGAAAATATAGAAAATTTTTTGGTATATATGAATAAAGAACACTTGATTAACTGAACTTTAAACTCATGGAATTTGGATTGGACTGAGGGATGGATTTCCCTTCATTGTCATCAATCTTTGGATTGTAACGTATCTCGGAAGCGGACTCGGGTATACGATGCAGATTTTTGAGAAACGAAACAAGGTCTTTCCTCTTTGGTATAGCTGATTTATCATATACACCTTGTCCCCACATTGTCAACACAAGAATACTTATATGCATAAGGAAGGAAGCATAAATTCCACCAGACTACTGTAACGACGAGTGTCCTCCGGTCGCTGAGATACGCTCGGGTGCGTCACAGAATATTTATATTGAAATGACTGAGAGTGAAACAGGTAGTATGTTGGTTCACAAATACGGTATGTATCACTTTATTACATTCAAATTTTTTATATTGACTGTGGCTGTCAACTGATACTGTTTGCTGTTTCGATGGTCGTTGTACGAAGGCTGTTTTTTTGCTGGTACTTGTGGCTAGGCTTTGGCAAGTTTATTCTTCCCCAGGGCCACGACGGCTCTTTGACGATTCGATTTGTAAAACCTTTTTTAGTCAAATGGGTCGTAAGATTAGGTTTTCTCGCTTTGCTTTGATTCGGTCTTAACTTCTTTCACTGCTTATATAGAAGACCCAAGAGAACCCTTCATCGGTCTTGGTATCATAGGCCCACGGCGACACTTTGATTCGGTGCCGATCGTTTCTTTACTAAAGGCCCAACACGGCATTATTACCGTTACAATTTTATTTTTTTCACTTTCAATATACAAGGCCCACGACGGCACTTGGATTTCACTTTAAGTCAGGCCCCAGACGGCACTTGAATTTAATTTAAATGCAGGTTTATTTCTTTTGAATATCCAAGGCCCACCACGGCACTTGAATTTCACTCAAATTCAGATTTATTTCCGTTTAATATCCAAAGTCCACGAAAGCACTTGGATTTTCACTTTAATTTCGGATTTCTTAATTTCGAATTTCGACGCGAAATTCTCGTTTAATATTTTAATGCTTTCCGTGACCCACGACGTATAATGGGGTGAGATCCTTAAAAAACGGAGATTTATTCAGGGAAGCATTCATCGCATGACATTTAGAGTTCTGAGTAGATGTAATCTCATCTGCTCAAATATATGATATAGGCCCCATGTTACTGAACCTTTACATTTTCGGTATTTTGAATGTTTTGACAACATTTTTAAGCCCGATTATGAATAACTTGAAATATTTTGAGGGTATCCGGCAGAGTTTCTACAAACTTTTTTATTTGGTTTTTTTTCTCTGTGAATATAAACTACAAAAATGCCAATTTAAAACCACCTATTACGTAGACCTATGCAGGGTTCAGGGTTACCTAAAAATCAAAGATAAATATTTGTTTTTATACCTTAATCAGCAGGAAATAACAAAATTTGAGTTAAGCCAGGAAAAATGAAAATCTGAAGACAAATTAGCTACATATTTTTATGAAAAATGAATAATAATATAATATATATATATAAAAAAATTGGCTGGCAATTAATATCCGAAATAGACTAACACCATATCAATATATTAAAAAATATGTAACTGATTTTAAAAAAATCATCATTATGGTGTTCCTCACTTACATCTCTCTCATTGCGTTAAATTGAAGGTGAGGCAAGTAACCTCACCACTGATTTTTAAAGAGACTGAATTATTTTTGAATAGTTTAGATTTCCCATTAATATTTTTTTAATTATAACTATATATTATAAACGCAAGAGAAACTTATTTAAAGGAACAACAAAAAGAAAAAAAGCAACACAGATAACTTTTTTTTATAAACATTTTTTAAATAAAAACGGCACGAATATTTTGTTGATTAGGAAAGCTAAAATTCCATACTAAAATACAAAATTAAAATGTTGGGACTTTCTCGATATTATTTTTTTAACTCCATTTACATTTTTAGATATGGTGAAAATGTGACCATATTTTGAAATAATTTTTAAAATATTTTTACATCACTGTTTTTAAAAACCTTTTTATTTTTAACACTGATAACTACATGCATTCCATGTTTCATATCTAAACTATCACTTTTGATAAGAAAAAACTGAATTATTACACTTGAAAAAACCAACAACAATTTTTTTCTTTCTTGCGAAAAAGTGAAACATTTCTCAACTTTGTCACCGTATAATTAGAAAACTCAACAGCGCGTGACTTTAAAATGTTCAGTACAGAAGTTGAATTTTGTGTTCTATAATAGTTTAAGAACATTTATTCCAGAAGACGAATTTCATTTTTAAATTAATATCCGTTTTTAGTGATTTCACCCCTCTGCGCAACGGTGCACTAAGGCTTGGATTCTATTTTTCTCACTCACCTGGCAATATTTTTTTAAGTTGTTAGTCACGCGCGTTGCACGTTCATCGCCGGTTCAAAACAGACTTATCCCAAGTCTGTCCTCTATGCTCTCGGCAGAAATACACTATCACATTCGGGGATTTACTTTGATTGCGAGACATTTTCCACATTGCATACTATTTGTTCTTGATTCCACGCGTCCAGTGATAATTATATTGCTATCAATAGAGTTCTGTATTGTTCTCAATATTGTTCATTTAATTGCTTGTTTCCAAACATGCTCCAGTGTCACTCTGACAGAGAATTTGCCAGTACAGCTACATTCCCTGTTGGCATGCTATCTGCTTTACTATCGAGATCTCCTCAAATAATGCGTTGTTTGGTTAGAAATTAGTTATAAACACATTTATCAGGCATAGCTTCTTCAGATCGCGTTTGAATTGGTGAACTACGTAAATCTCATAGTAACATTAGAGGAATAAAAGAACAAACGAATAAGGAAACAAAACAAGCCGCATGATTAGAAAATAAACCCATGATCAGAAAAAAAAATACAATTGAGAAACAATCAACATTTGCTATTTATCTTAAATAAAAGATACATTTAATTGTGTAATTGTTATTAAAAAAAAAACTTTTTATTACTTGAAAGTGTTTTAAAGTTACAAGTTCTCATAAAAATACGATTTCACTTGTAAAAACCAAAGTGGTTTCAAACAGAAAAAAATTTGCGGTTTTCGTTGTCTGAAGAAGCTAAATATGGAATTAAAATTACTTTCATACGGAATTCGTTCCTGTGACATGCTTGTATATTTCATGCATGACATTGTCCACACACCATCAACCAACAGCTCCCACCAACAACCTTTCACATCATAAAGGCGTTAAGTTGACTCAGTCCACGAGCCGCCTGTTTTCAAGAAATTGTAGCATTAAATAAATACAAGTGAAATTTGTTTGTTAAATTTTTGCATTATTATGTATATCATATAAAATTATAAAAAGTTAAATTTTAAAATAAATATTAATCATCACATTAATCTGGGCATGAGAGAATTTTGATATTATGGTTTATAAACTTCTTATAATATATGTTTATAATTATTCTATTTACTTATTTATTTATAATATGTTGGTAATTCATATGTAAGTATATATTTTCATAATTTTTAATATGTTTTTTTTTTTTAACGCATTTATCTTCTGTGGGGAATACTATTATAATTAAGTTTTTTTGTTTGTTATTTTTAGTTATTTTGTATGGAATATGTGCCTAAAAATAGGGTTTGTAGAAATTTGGATTTTAATACTTAAGCTGTTTTTAATATAATTCATTTGAGTCAAGTCTAATGAAATTATCATGGTAGAATTAAGAAGGTCAAGCCATGCAATCATATGTTACATTTTTTTCTCAAAATTATTCATTTAACAAAATTTCATTGTCAAATGTATATTTACAAATCCATTGTACATACACAAATCAGAGATGGGAACCATCATTCCATGCAATGAAAATTGATAAGCTAAATTACAGAAAATGCAAAGATGGGAATGCTTATTTGAAATGACTTTACCTTCTTAATTTTACAATGGAAATTATGAATTAAACTTAATGGGGGTTGCAAATAATCTCATATAATAAAACTAAAATCATTTCTCAAGGTTTCATGCGAAAGGCCGCTATCAAATCAGTTCAAAAACAGCATAATTTTCTAGCTAGATCTGTGGTCTATGATAGATATGCGGTCTATGGTCTGTGATCTAGATCGGTGGCAGGACAGAAGATCGGCTCTGGAGGCTTCCCTATAAAAACCTTGTCCAAAACGAGCTATTAGAATTAAAGAGGGGGTCTTCACGGACATTTTCGCATCAATACTAGGTTCGAAATCACTTTTTGGTAGAACAAAGTTGGAGATTTTCTGATTTCCAACTGGTGGTCAGGACAAAAGATCGACTCTGGATGGCTTCCTATTCAAACCTCGTCCAAATTGAGCCATTAGAATTAAAGAGGGGATCCTCACGAACATTTTCGTATTTTTTTAAATATCATTTATAGTATTTTTTTGAAATCAGTTTTTGGTAGAACAAAGTTACAGATTTTCTGATTTCCAACTGGTGGTCAGGACAGAAGGTCGGCTCTGGATGCCTTTCTATTCAAACCTCGTCCAAAATGAACTATTAGAATTAAAAAGAAGTTCTTCACGAACATTTTCGAATCAATCTTAGTGCAAAATCAGTTTTTGGTAGAACAAAGTTAGAGATTTTCTGATTTCTAACTGGTGGTCAGGACAGAAGGTCGGCTCTGGATGCCTTTCTATTCAAACCTCGTCCAAAATGAACCATTAGAATTAAAGAGGAGGTCTTCACAAAGATTTACGTACCAATACTTAGTCCAAAATTAGTTTTTTAGTAGAATCATGGTACAATAAGGAGGTGGAACAGCTTCGTAAAACTACAGAAATACAGCTCTGAGGCTATGCCCGCTTCCGGTCAGAACTATTCAAAATTATATGCAAAAAGTTGTTTTTTTATTATTTCAAAATTTTTCCTTTTTTAAATGATTAAAATAAAACGAAAGATGAATGAAGTGCCTGGAATTTCTTCCAAAAATATGATCCAGAGTGCCCAATCATTTAATTCCATGGCAAAGCTGCTTAATATCTTCATAGCTCGCTCCACAATCTACGTTTCTCCTAATCATTGATTCTGAAAATATTTTGTTGTTATTTTTCAAAACAATGAATAGATACGCAGAATTGGCAGAAGTCGGCACACTCAGAAAAAAATTGTAATCAACTGGTAGCTCCACCTTACCTTTTTATTGTACCATGGGAGAAAAAAGTTGGAGATTTTCTTATCTTCAACAAGTGGTTACAAGTTCCCAAAAAAGCCAAATCAAACGAACAGCAATATTGAGAACATATATTTGATACATAAGTTTCAACACAATATTTTTAAATACTGTTTTTGTTGGGTGTACATTTAAATATTTTTGTTATTAAAAAAGTACAAAGCATGGTACAATAAGGAGGCAGAACAGCTTCATAAAACTACAGAAATAAAGCGCTGTCAGAATTATTCAAAATTATATCCAATAAGTTGTTTTTATTTATTTGATATTTTTTGTTCATTTCTAAAAGAGCTAAATTATGCGAAAGGCGAATGAAATGCTGGATGTTCTCTCAAACATATGATCCTAATTGGCCAATCCTTCAATTCCGTGGCAAATCTGCTTAATATCATTATTGCGCGCCCCGCAATTTAAGTTTCTTCCTAGCACTCTTAGAAAAAAATTTTAATCAGCTGGTAGCTCTACCTTTCCTTTTTATTGTACCATTACCACACGTAACCACACGCAGCATTGACAATTAGAAGTTGCATCCATGCTACATTTTTACAAAGTCACCAAGTTGACAACATTGTGGCCGCAAATAAACAATTATTGTGACTAAATTGAATTGTGATCAGTTGGCACAGAAATAAACAGCAGATAGACTAAAGTTCTGGAATATTTTGCATGTCTGTGGTGTCACTGTAAACAAAGAAAAAGAAATGTTAACAAAGGAAAATCGAAGAGTTATATTATTTATTTTAACCTACAATACAACCAACCCTGGGTCTCCAAATCAAATTTCGTTGCAAAGGCCCTAACTCTAGTTCTTCTTTTGCAAAAAAAATTACATAAGAACCACCATGTTTCTTATTTTGCTGCTGAACATCTCCGAACTCAGCATGGGACAGACTGTTACCTTAGTGCCCTATTTTTGGGCAATACCTAGAGCAATTGCATTGTACCTCCAGCTGTAAGGCAAGACCTGCCATTTTCTTTTTTTCGTCAAATTCACAACTATATCACGGGCTTCTCGGACAGCTTTTTGTCCAGCCAAACTAGCGGCCATGGGCAATGGGACACCTTCGTCATTTATACCCAAACCTTTGATATGGCTTTATTCAGAAATCCGTTGGGTGCGAACGCTACTTTTAATTTCTTCGATTTTCATGATTAGACAGTAAGAAAAGCAAAATATTTCAAAACTTTAGTTTGAAAAACGATGTTTGTTTGCTGTTTATTTCTGCGCCAACTGAGCACAATTCAATCACAATAATTGATTTGTTGTCGCTACAATGTTGTCAACTTGATGGCTTTGTAAAAATGTAGCAGTGTTGCAACTTCTTGGAATTGATTTGATAACGGTATTTCGCATGAAACCCTTCAGAAATGACTTATGTTTTATTATATAGAATTATGTACCACCCCATTGAGTTTTTAATTCATAATTTCATTAAATAATTATATTTTTTATTTATTTTCATAATATTTCATCAGGACCGTTGAAAAAAAAAATGTACTAAAAGAGAAATTGGGGTTTCTGTGTCACGCTGTGAACGTCTATAACTCGTTATCAAAATTTAGCGTAATCCTGTCTAGAGCATTTCTAGTAGTAGTTGTAGTATTCCACTAGCTTGGGACCATGGTAGAAGAATATAGGTAGACGCGTCGACACTGCTGCTGGGACAATGAACTGTCAAACCAATTTTGGAATTGAAAATGTTGAATGAAAAATTATTTAAATTTGTAAAAATTGTAGAAAAACGCGAATTATAATAGCCTCCGAATGACGTAGTATAACAAAACGTATAAAAATCTACTTATATTTGAAAAAAACCATTTAAATTCTTTTGACATATAAATGCTCCCAAGCGTTGATGCATCTACCTGTATTCTTCTGCCATGCTTGGGACTAATGATAGTCCGCGAAGGCAGGATATCGGGACATCTTGCAAATATATTTTTTCTCAGTTCCAAATTTGTCGTTATTACAGTTTATGCATGGTACAATAAGGATATAGAACAGCTTCGTAAAACTACAAAAATACAGCCCTGAGGCTATGCCCGCTTCCTGTCAGACTCATTCAAAATTATTGTTTTCATTTTTTTTTCATATTTTTCCTCATTTTTAAAATGAGTTAAATAGCGCGAAAAATGAATAAAACGTCTGGATTTTTCTCTCAAAAATATGATCCTAACTGTTCAATTTTTCAATTTCATGGCTATACTGGTTAATATATTTAATGCGCGAGCTGCAATTCATGTATCTTCCAATCATTGGTTTTGAAAAAATATATATTTTTTTAACAATTAATACATACACAAAATTGGCAGAAGTCGGGCACACTTAGAAACAAATTGTAATCAGCTGTTAGCTCTTCCTTACCTTTTTGTTGTACCATGAGTTTATGCAACACCACTGTTCAGTTTTGTAGAAACTGTTTAATAATATATAAGTTGAATGGACTTCTTTGAATTATATTTAAGCTTTTGGATCGGTCATAAATAATGTAATAAATGTCATGACTACAATAGATTCCAGTGAAGGTACGTTCTATGATCACTCGCAACGCTTGTGTGCGTGGGGTGAATATACATTTAGGCACAGCAAGCTTTAATAAGTTAGTGCATGCGTAACCAACCATCAAACACCATTGGAAACAATTTGAACGTTAACCCAGAAGCATTTGGAAGTGAGTAACTCACTACCTTTTTAAGATGCTACTTCTGCGACGCTTCTAATTGTAATAAATGCGATAGTATGTACATCAATAATAACAAAACTACTGTTGTATACTTTCTATCGTCACGACGTTACTACATAGTGCGCCAAGAAATATAACATAATGTGTCGCGTGTGCAGATACTTTCTTGTGACTTCCATCGGACAAACAGCGATAGTTTTCAGTCAGTTACTTATTGAACATAAATGAGACTTTATTCTATCTGAGGAATATAAGACGCTGTGGTACAGTGGTTAGCATGCCAGCTTTGTTCTCTGAACACACAGGATCTATTCCCAAGATAGACATCACATTTTTCAAACGAAAAAATGTGAGTATTTGAGCTAATTTATTATTTAAATGCATGTGTACATTGAAAAGTGCCAATAACAATAAAAATAGTTACATAAGTCTGGAGTAAAATAATAAAAAAAAACTTCACTTCCAAAAACTGTCGAGGAAGTGTTTGTTAGAAGTAACGCTGTAAACGTTATTTAGTCATGCTTAAAACTATCGTGGGCGTGGTTCGTGTCTTCTCGAAGGATGCTCCTTTCGGGATGAGAAACGATATCAATCCCGCAAATCACTTAGAAGTCACTACTAAGCGATAGAAATCATCGCGTTTGATATAGCTTGCTCACCCGGGAAGGAGCATCCTACGGGAAGAGATGAACCACCCCGCGATAGTTTTCTGTCGATACTTTGATACTCAACAATACGCCCTTATAACAATTTTATCTAACAATTACATATTGATTCTCTTATTTAGTATCTTTATCCATTCAATGATTTTTACATTTTCCAATCTTTCGGATAATTACATTGTTGTTCGTAAATGTTAAACTATAAGGAGCACTTTTCGGTTGTGTTCGTTACAATTTTGACATTTGAATTTTTAATTGACACACAAAGGGAACATTACTAAAAGTTTATATGTTTCTATTTTTTTTTTTTTTTTTTTTTGGAACTTTGAATCTGCATAAGCTCTTAAAAATTATATATGTTTCATTATTTATTTGTTTTATTGTCATTATTTATCTATTGTGGTTTTTTATATATTATGTTTTTTTTGTATTAATAATTTATAGCCCTTATAATTAAAATAGGTTGGAAAAAGGGCGCGACCCTGAATCGCCACACGTCCTTATGGTCATAAACATAAGCCTGTTGTGCGCTATATAGGTAAAAAGTGTGAAGGTAGGATTTGTTAATTCATGCTTTAATATGTTAAAGTATTTTATCTTATGAAACCCACACTTTTTAACGAAACCCCTAATATGTTTAAGGTCTATTTGTGCCAGATATAGGAGCATATAGGGCAGTGGCAATGAAAATGTTCTAAAGTTTCATCTTCTTCCCAGGATGCCCTTCAAGTACAACAGTCCTTACAACTCACTCTGTGTAAGTGTGCTTGTAAACCCAGATGTCTCCTGATTACGCCCATTAAACTGCTCCTTTCAGTTTTCTGAATTATATTCATGGAAAAACAATAGATGTAGCCTCATGGTAGAAGAATACAGCAACATGCAAAGCTTGAAAACATTGATTTGTCAATTTTTTAAATGTTTTTTCAAAGATAAGTGGACTTGTTTATATTTTCTCGTACGACGCCAATCTGATGATGTTATTATATGCGTTTTTTAAACAATTTTTACAAATTTGAATAATTTTTCAATCAAATATTTCACTTCCAATGCGACTACTTGTAATCTTCTACCATGAGATAGACTAATTACTAAATGGAATATGACAAAAATTTCAAATGAAATTTCTGTTCATATCTGAAATATTTACAAATGTCAGTTGGCAGATTTTATAAAAATAAAAATATTTTTTCGGCTTTCCTTAGAACATAAAAACCACTACAAGTGTTTCATCTTAGAAACCTTGTCTTCATACTTGTCCTACCTGAATCAAAATTTTTCCATTCCATAATCAAGCGTTACATAACTTATCAGAGAAATATTTTAGCTCTCTGTTTTAGATTACCTCTAAAGGCGTGAAAATTACAATCTATTTGGTCTAAAATACATGTAAATTTCTTGCCAGTTGTATGGTTAGACATACATATTGTAAGGGATTAAAGACGTGAGAAGAAAAGGAGAGTGTGATCTTAGTTAGGTGGGCAGATTCCAAGTCACCGGGCTCGGGTTTCTAGAGGGTGGTGAAGTATCGTGTTGTTTATGTAGTATTGCTCTTGTTATCTGCTGAATGTACTGAGCGCATTATGATGGGATGATTGAAAATAAAGGTGAGGGTACATAAGCAGCTTGACATCTTGACTGGGCTTATTAATGTAAAATTATGTGGGGAAACGACGGCAGAATTCGAGTGCGGCTCTGAAATCTCTTTTTGATATGTCACAAAATATGCCACGCGAAGACTTCAATCTGCTTAGGGTACAAGTATATAAGAAGCTTCAAGTCATGGCTAGGCATATTTTGTGACATTTCATAAAGGGATTACAGAGCCGCAATAAAATCCTGTCGTCGTTTTCCATTATAGTTTTACATTAATATGCCTAGTCGTCGCTCATCAACATCTGTTGACATTAGACTGTTTTTCGCGCTGGTCGCTGTGCTTTTATTTCAAAACAACAACAAATATACAAACAACGCGTTCACACACACAAACATAAACAAATTTGAGTTTTTTTCCTGCTTTTGCAATTTTTTTTACAAAAGTTAAAATAATCCTTCATTAACTGAAAAATGGGGGAGTAGGGGAACCTCCTCCTCCGCCTATTCCACCTCCTCCTCCGGGGGAACAAAATAAAAGAAGAGCCCCAAGCATTTCCACAGAAACTAAAACTTTCAAAAACCAAAATGGAACACCTGTTAAACCAATAAACACAAACACAGAACCTACATCAAATAATGAAATGGCAGACCAACACAACTACAACTCTCTAAATAAAGAAACCATTTTGTATCCTCAATACCATCCCGGTCTTTTTCATGTATTATTTTCCTCAGAAACGCCAATTAGCACAAGAAGAAAGAATTGTGAACTTCACCTGTATGCAAGATTTCAAAAGATTAATATTACAGACTATGCTTGCAAGAACATTGGATACAATCTTTTCAGAATAACATTTAACAATGCTACTTCAGCCAACTCATTTGCTATCGTTTCTCACCCTGAAAGGAGCATCCTTCGAGAAGACATGAACCACGCCCACGATAGTTTTAAGCATGACTAAATAACGTTTACAGCGTTACTTCTAACAAACACTTCCTCGACAGTTTTTGGAAGTGAAGTTTTTTTTATTATTTTACTCCAGACTTATGTAACTATTTTTATTGTTATTGGTACTTTTCAATGTACACATGCATTTAAATAATAAATTAGCTCAAATACTCATATTTTTTCATTTGAAAAATGTGATGTCTATCTTGGGAATAGATCCTGTGTGTTCAGAGAACAAAGCTGGCATGCTAACCACTGTACCACAGCGTCTTATATTCCTCAGATAGAATAAAGTCTCATTTATGTTCAATAAATAACTGACTGAAAACTATCGCTGTTTGTCCGATGGAAGTCACAAGAAAGTATCTGCACACGCGACACATTATAGTTGTGTTCCAGAACCTGCAAATTAGTACTAATTAACACTAATTCTGCTACAACGCGTTCCCGCACTCCAAAAACTAGCAAAACTTGCAGCTCTCTCGAGAAAAAAATGGCGCTGAGTGGTGCACATTTCTGCTTGTTTTAGCTACATGAATTTGGCCGAGCAGAAATGTGTATATTGTAAATTTGACATTTAATTGGCAGGGCTAACAAGGTTGAAAAATGTATTGATACATTTCAATAAAGAAAATGAAAACTAATATTTGTCGTGCAAAAAACAAAAAGAGAAAATATGGAGCAACTGATGTATTCACTTTTGGATGATTCCAGCAGTGAAGAGGACTGGCTGAATGAGGAATCAGATTTTTAATTATTATTATAAATTATTAATTTTAACTTATCGTCTTCAATACTCATTTTTTAAATGTTGGCGCTCTTTTCAGTAAGGTTTCACCAGTCCGATTTAGGCTGTTTACTTTTGGAATTTTGAATTTTGACATTTTATCGCATTTCTGCTAATTTTCCGTTCCCTTATTTTTTGAGCAAACCTAAATGAGAATGACATTTCGAACTGTTCTCTCTTCTGCTAGTTTTACTACTAAAAAAGTACTGGAACGCAACTTATGTTATATTTCTTGGCGCACTATGTAGTAACGTCGTGACGATAGAAAGTATACAACAGTAGTTTTGTTATTATTGATGTACATACTATCGCATTTATTACAATTAGAAGCGTCGCAGAAGTAGCATCTTAAAAAGGTAGTGAGTTACTCACTTCCAAATGCTTCTGGGTTAACGTTCAAATTGTTTCCAATGGTGTTTGATGGTTGGTTACGCATGCACTAACTTATTAAAGCTTGCTGTGCCTAAATGTATATTCACCCCACGCACACAAGCGTTGCGAGTGATCATAGAACGTACCTTCACTGGAATCTATTGTAGTCATGACATTTATTACATTATTTATGACCGATCCAAAAGCTTAAATATAATTCAAAGAAGTCCATTCAACTTATATATTATTAAACAGAACAGTGGTGTTGCATAAACTCATGGTACAACAAAAAGGTAAGGAAGAGCTAACAGCTGATTACAATTTGTTTCTAAGTGTGCCCGACTTCTGCCAATTTTGTGTATGTATTAATTGTTAAAAAAATATATATTTTTTCAAAACCAATGATTGGAAGGTACATGAATTGCAGCTCGCGCATTAAATATATTAACCAGTATAGCCATGAAATTGAAAAATTGAACAGTTAGGATCATATTTTTGAGAGAAAAATCCAGACGTTTTATTCATTTTTCGCGCTATTTAACTCATTTTAAAAATGAGGAAAAATATGAAAAAAAAAATGAAAACAATAATTTTGAATGAGTCTGACAGGAAGCGGGCATAGCCTCAGGGCTGTATTTTTGTAGTTTTACGAAGCTGTTCTATATCCTTATTGTACCATGCATAAACTGTAATAACGACAAATTTGGAACTGAGAAAAAATATATTTGCAAGATGTCCCGATATCCCGGCTTCGCGGACTATCATTAGTCCCAAGCATGGCAGAAGAATACAGGTAGATGCATCAACGCTTGGGAGCATTTATATGTCAAAAGAATTTAAATGGTTTTTTCAAATATAAGTAGATTTTTATACGTTTTGTTATACTACGTCATTCGGAGGCTATTATAATTCGCGTTTTTCTACAATTTTTACAAATTTAAATAATTTTTCATTCAACATTTTCAATTCCAAAATTGGTTTGACAGTTCATTGTCCCAGCAGCAGTGTCGACGCGTCTACCTATATTCTTCTACCATGGTCCCAAGCTAGTGGAATACTACAACTACTACTAGAAATGCTCTAGACAGGATTACGCTAAATTTTGATAACGAGTTATAGACATTCACAGCGTGACACAGAAACCCCAATTTCTCTTTTAGTACATTTTTTTTCAACGGTGCTGATGAAATATTATGAAAATAAATAAAAAATATAATTATTTAATGAAATTATGAATTAAAAACTCAATGGGGTGGTACATAATTCTATATAATAAAACATAAGTCATTTCTGAAGGGTTTCATGCGAAATACCGTTATCAAATCAATTCCAAGAAGTTGCAACACTGCTACATTTTTACAAAGCCATCAAGTTGACAACATTGTAGCGACAACAAATCAATTATTGTGATTGAATTGTGCTCAGTTGGCGCAGAAATAAACAGCAAACAAACATCGTTTTTCAGACTAAAGTTTTGAAATATTTTGCTTTTCTTACTGTCTAATCATGAAAATCGAAGAAATTAAAAGTAGCGTTCGCACCCAACGGATTTCTGAATAAAGCCATATCAAAGGTTTGGGTATAAATGACGAAGGTGTCCCATTGCCCATGGCCGCTGGTTTGGCTGGACAAAAAGCTGTCCGAGAAGCCCGTGATATAGTTGTGAATTTGACGAAAAAAAGAAAATGGCAGGTCTTGCCTTACAGCTGGAGGTACAATGCAATTGCTCTAGGTATTGCCCAAAAATAGGGCACTAAGGTAACAGTCTTTCCCATGCTGAGTTCGGAGATGTTCAGCAGCAAAATAAGAAACATGGTGGTTCTTATGTAATTTTTTTTGCAAAAGAAGAACTAGAGTTAGGGCCTTTGCAACGAAATTTGATTTGGAGACCCAGGGTTGGTTGTATTGTAGGTTAAAATAAATAATATAACTCTTCGATTTTCCTTTGTTAACATTTCTTTTTCTTTGTTTACAGTGACACCACAGACATGCAAAATATTCCAGAACTTTAGTCTATCTGCTGTTTATTTCTGTGCCAACTGATCACAATTCAATTTAGTCACAATAATTGTTTATTTGCGGCCACAATGTTGTCAACTTGGTGGCTTTGTAAAAATGTAGCATGGATGCAACTTCTAATTGTCAATGCTGCGTGTGGTTACGTGTGGTAATGGTACAATAAAAAGGAAAGGTAGAGCTACCAGCTGATTAAAATTTTTTTCTAAGAGTGCTAGGAAGAAACTTAAATTGCGGGGTGGGCAATAATGATATTAAGCAGATTTGCCACGGAATTGAAGGATTGGCCAATTAGGATCATATGTTTGAGAGAACATCCAGCATTTCATTCGCCTTTCGCATAATTTAGCTCTTTTAGAAATGAACAAAAAATATCAAATAAATAAAAACAACTTATTGGATATAATTTTGAATAATTCTGACAGCGCTTTATTTCTGTAGTTTTATGAAGCTGTTCTGCCTCCTTATTGTACCATGCTTTGTACTTTTTTAATAACAAAAATATTTAAATGTACACCCAACAAAAACAGTATTTAAAATAAAAATATTGTGTTGAAACTTATGTATCAAATATATGTTCTCAATATTGCTGTTCGTTTGATTTGGCTTTTTTGGGAACTTGTAACCACTTGTTGAAGATAAGAAAATCTCCAACTTTTTTCTCCCATGGTACAATAAAAAGGTAAGGTGGAGCTACCAGTTGATTACAATTTTTTTCTGAGTGTGCCGACTTCTGCCAATTCTGCGTATCTATTCATTGTTTTGAAAAATAACAACAAAATATTTTCAGAATCAATGATTAGGAGAAACGTAGATTGTGGAGCGAGCTATGAAGATATTAAGCAGCTTTGCCATGGAATTAAATGATTGGGCACTCTGGATCATATTTTTGGAAGGAATTCCAGGCACTTCATTCATCTTTCGTTTTATTTTAATCATTTAAAAAAAGGAAAAATTTTGAAATAATAAAAAAACAACTTTTTGCATATAATTTTGAATAGTTCTGACCGGAAGCGGGCATAGCCTCAGAGCTGTATTTCTGTAGTTTTACGAAGCTGTTCCACCTCCTTATTGTACCATGATTCTACTAAACTAATTTTGGACTAAGTATTGGTACGTAAATCTTTGTGAAGACCTCCTCTTTAATTCTAATGGTTCATTTTGGACGAGGTTTGTATAGGGAAGTCTCCAGAGCCGATCTTCTGTCCTGACCACCAGTTAGAAATCAGAAAATCTCTAACTTTGTTCTACCAAAAACTGATTTTGCACTAAGATTGATTCGAAAATGTTCGTGAAGAACTTCTTTTTAATTCTAATAGTTCATTTTGGACGAGGTTTGAATAGAAAGGCATCCAGAGCCGACCTTCTGTCCTGACCACCAGTTGGAAATCAGAAAATCTGTAACTTTGTTCTACCAAAAACTGATTTCAAAAAAATACTATAAATGATATTTAAAAAAATACGAAAATGTTCGTGAGGATCCCCTCTTTAATTCTAATGGCTCAATTTGGACGAGGTTTGAATAGGAAGCCATCCAGAGTCGATCTTTTGTCCTGACCACCAGTTGGAAATCAGAAAATCTCCAACTTTGTTCTACCAAAAAGTGATTTCGAACCTAGTATTGATGCGAAAATGTCCGTGAAGACCCCCTCTTTAATTCTAATAGCTCGTTTTGGACAAGGTTTTTATAGGGAAGCCTCCAGAGCCGATCTTCTGTCCTGACCACCGATCTAGATCACAGACCATAGACCGCATATCTATCATAGACCACAGATCTAGCTAGAAAATTATGCTGTTTTTGAACTGATTTGATAGCGGCAATGAAATGATTTTAGTTTTATTATATGAAATTATTTGCAACCCCCATTAAGTTTAATTCATAATTTCCATTGTAAAATTAAGAAGGTAAAGTCATTTCAAATAAGCATTTCAATCTTTGCATTTTCTGTAATTTAGCTTGTCAATTTTCATTGCATGGAATGATGGTTCCCATCTCTGATTTGTGTATGTACAATGGATTTGTAAATATACATTTGACAATGAAATTTTGTTAAATGAATAATTTTGAGAAAAAATGTAACATATGATTGCATGGCTTGACCTTCTTAATTCTACCATGATAATTTCATTAGACTTGACTCAAATGAATTATATTAAAAACAGCTTAAGTATTAAAAGCCAAATTTCTACAAACCCTATTTTTAGGCACATATTCCATACAAAATAACTAAAAATAACAAACAAAAAAACTTAATTATAATAGTATTCCCCACAGAAGATAAATGCGTTAAAAAAAAACATATTAAAAATTATGAAAATATATACATACATATGAATTACCAACATATTATAAATAAATAAGTAAATAGAATAATTATAAACATATATTATAAGAAGTTTATAAAACATAATAGCAAAATTCTCTCATGCCCAGATTAATGTGATGATTAATATTTATTTTAAAATTTAACTTTTTATAATTTTATATGATATACATAATAATGCAAAAATTTAACAAACAAATTTCACTTGTATTTATTTAATGCTACAATTTCATGAAAACAGGCGGCTCGTGGACTGAGTCAACTTAACGCCTTTATGATGTGAAAGGTTGTTGGTGGGAGCTGTTGGTTGATGGTGTGTGGACAATGTCATGCATGAAATATACAAGCATGTCACAGGAACGAATTCCGTATGAAAGTAATTTTAATTCCGTATATAGCTTCTTCAGACAACGAAAACCGCAAAATTTTTTCGGTTTGAAACCACTTTGGTTTTTACAAGTGAAATCGTATTTTTATGAGAACTTGTAACATTAAAACACTTTCAAGTAATAAAAAAGTTTTTCTTTTAATAAAAATTACACAATTAAATTTATCTTTTATTTAATATAAATTGCAAATGTTGATTGTTTCTCAATTGTATTTTTTTCTGATCATGGGTTTGTTTTCTAATCATGCGGCTTGTTTTGTTTCCTTATTCGTTTGTTCTTTTATTCCTCTAATGTTACTATGAGATTTACGTAGTTCACCAATTCAAACGCGATCTGAAGAAGCTAAAACAAAAACGATCGATATAAATTACGGAATTCAAACCATTCCAATTCGATTCTGTGACATGCCTGATAAATGTGTTTATAACTAATTTCTAACCAAACAACGCATTATTTGAGGAGATCTCGATAGTAGAGCAGATAGCATGCCAACAGGGAATGTAGCTGTACTGGCAGATTCTCTGTCAGAGTGACACTGGAGCATGTTTGGAAACAAGCAATTAAATGAACAATATTGAGAACAATACTGAACTCTATTGATAGCAATATAATTATCACTGGACGCGTGGAATCAAGAAAAAATAGTATGCAATGTGGAAAATGTCTCGCAATCAAAGTAAATCCCCGAATGTGATAGTGTATTTCTGCCGAGAGCATAGAGGACAGACTTGGGATAAGTCTGTTTTGAACCGGCGATGAACGTGCAACGCGCGTGACTAACAACTTAAAAAAATATTGCCAGGTGAGTGGGAAAAAATAGAATCCAAGCCTTAGTGCACCGTTGCGCAGAGGGGTGAAATCACTAAAAACGGATATTAATTTAAAAATGAAATTCGTCTTCTGGAATAAATGTTCTTAAACTATTATAGAACACAAAATTTAACTTCTGTACTGAACATTTTAAAGTCACGCGCTGTTGAGTTTTCTAATTATACGGTGACAAAGTTGAGAAATGTTTCACTTTTTCGCAAGAAAGAAAAAAATTGTTGTTGGGTTTTTCAAGTGTAATAATTCAGTTTTTTCTTATCAAAAGTGATAGTTTAGATATGAAACATGGAATGCATGTAGTTATCAGTGTTAAAAATAAAAAGGTTTTTAAAAACAGTGATGTAAAAATATTTTAAAAATTATTTCAAAATATGGTCATATTTTCACCATATATAAAAATGTAAATGGAGTTAAAAAAAAATAATATCGAGAAAGTCCCAACATTTTAATTTTGTATTTTAGTATGGAATTTTAGCTTTCCTAATCAACAAAATATTCGTGCCGTTTTTATTTAAAAAATGTTGAAAATATTCAGTTATCTGTGTTGCTTTTTTTCTTTTTGTTGTTCCTTTAAATAAGTTTCTCTTGCGTTTATAATATATAATTATAATTAAAAAAATATTAATGGGAAATCTAAACTATTCAAAAATAATTCAGTCTCTTTAAAAATCAGTGGTGAGGTTACTTGCCTCACCTTCAATTTAACGCAATGAGAGAGATGTAAGTGAGGAACACCATAATGATGATTTTTTTAAAATCAGTTACATATTTTTTAATATATTGATATGGTGTTAGTCTATTTCGGATATTAATTGCCAGCCAATTTTTTTTTATATATATTATATTATTATTCATTTTTCATAAAAATATGTAGCATATTTGTCTTCAGATTTTAATTTTTCCTGGCTTAACTCAAATTTGGTTATTTTCTGCTGATTAAGGTATAAAAACAAATATTTATCTTTGATTTTTAGGGAACCCTGAACCCTGCATAGGTCTACGTAATAGGTGGTTTTAAATTGGCATTTTTGTAGTTTATATTCACAGAGAAAAAAACCAAATAAAAAAGTTTGTAGAAACTCTGCCGGATACCCTCAAAATATTTCAAGTTATTCATAATCGGGCTTAAAAATGTTGTCAAAACATTCAAAATACCGAAAATGTAAAGGTTCAGTAACATGGGGCCTATATCATATATTTGAGCAGATGAGATTACATCTACTCAGAACTCTAAATGTCATGCGATGAATGCTTCCCTGAATAAATCTCCGTTTTTTAAGGATCTCACCCCATTGTGCGTCGTGGGTCACGGAAAGCATTAAAATATTAAACGAGAATTTCGCGTCGAAATTCGAAATTAAGAAATCCGAAATTTAAGTGAAAATCCAAGTGCTTTCGTGGACTTTGGATATTAAACGGAAATAAATCTGAATTTGAGTGAAATTCAAGTGCCGTGGTGGGCCTTGGATATTCAAAAGAAATAAACCTGCATTTAAATTAAATTCAAGTGCCGTCTGGGGCCTGACTTAAAGTGAAATCCAAGTGCCGTCGTGGGCCTTGTATATTGAAAGTGAAAAAAATAAAATTGTAACGGTAACAATGCCGTGTTGGGCCTTTAGTAAAGAAACGATCGGCACCGAATCAAAGTGTCGCCGTGGGCCTATGATACCAAGACCGATGAAGGGTTCTCTTGGGTCTTCTATATAAGCAGTGAAAGAAGTTAAGACCGAATCAAAGCAAAGCGAGAAAACCTAATCTTACGACCCATTTGACTAAAAAAGGTTTTACAAATCGAATCGTCAAAGAGCCGTCGTGGCCCTGGGGAAGAATAAACTTGCCAAAGCCTAGCCACAAGTACCAGCAAAAAAGCAGCCTTCGTACAACGACCATCGAAACAGCAAACAGTATCAGTTGACAGCCACAGTCAATATAAAAAATTTGAATGTAATAAAGTGATACATACCGTATTTGTGAACCAACATACTACCTGTTTCACTCTCAGTCATTTCAATATAAATATTCTGTGACGCACCCGAGCGTATCTCAGTGACCGGAGGAAACTCGTCGTTACAGTAGTCTGGTGGAATTTATGCTTCCTTCCTTATGCATATAAGTATTCTTGTGTTGACAATGTGGGGGCAAGGTGTATATGATAAATCAGCTATACCAAAGAGGAAAGACCCTGTTTCGTTTCTCAAAAATCTGCATCGTATACCCGAGTCCGTTTCCGAGATACGTTACAATCCAAAGATTGATGACAATGAAGGGAAATCCATCCCTCAGTCCAATCCAAATTCCATGAGTTTAAAGTTCAGTTAATCAAGTGTTCTTTTTTCATATATACCAAAAAATTTTCTATATTTTCTATTATCAAAGATAAAGGTTCCCTTTCCACGAATTGAAAGCCGTTTTAGAACTATCAAATTTATTTTGCCACAATTCCAATCTAAGATAAAAATTAACAAACAAATGTCGCTGATATTTATTTAATGCTACTGCAATTTCGTGAACTGAGTCAGCATAACTCGCTTATGGTGTGAATGGTTGTTGGTGGGTTTATTGGCTGCTTGTTGTGTAAACAAGTGTGTTTTTAAGGGTTGCGTGATTGCATTATTTGTAGTTTTCAGTAGGAGTAGACATATAAAGTTCCCCCCAGAATAACGAGGACAACAAAACTTTTCTGAGAGAATCTTTTTCCAGGTGTGTAGGTCGAATGTCCTATATAGTGGCGCAGATAGCATGCCAACAGGGACTGTAGTTGCACTAACAAATTCCCTTCGCCGTGGCACTGGGACATGTTTGGAGAAATCAACAGGCAGGCTATTGAAGGCAATATAATTATCACTAGAAGTTTTGCTTTTGTATAGCATGGAATGGAATCAGGAAAAAATAGTATGCAAGATTTGTACTGAACTAATTTGGGCCCATATGATATCGATTTTAGGGAAAGTGTATTTGATTTCAATCCCATAGCCGCAGTAGTTAGTGTTTCGTTGTGGGGTTTATACCGTTCACTTTACTGCAACGATTTACACCCTGTTCCACGATATCGAAAGAAAATTTGTGCGAACGAAAGCTAGTCACTCACTATCGTATCAGAATTCGTTCCACTAACATTCGTTCTTTCTTTCGCATAGCCTTACGTGAAGCAGTGTTGCCTTTATATATACCTTTGAAAAATTAATTGCGAATTTAAGCAAAAAAAGTGCCAGAATGACTGATTTAAACGCGAAAAAGCAATAAAAAATACAACCATACTTAATCTTGCTCTGCCTGAACTGACAGTTCGGTTGTAAACAAACAAATTGTAAATAAACAAACAAAATAATATTCGCGGTGATAGTGCTTGAATTATTTGTGTTCTTAAAAAATGAATATTTCTGTAGCACTATACTTTATGGATGATGTGGAGGAGGTTCAAAATGTACCATGGAGGCATTTAAAAGATGCTTCGAATAAATAAAAATTGCAATAAATTTGTAAAATTTACTGATTTTTTATTAAAATAAAAATGTATAACTAAAAAATTGTTTCATCTATTAACTATGATTGGTATTGTTTAGTTGTGATGGTGCAGGTTTGTACGTTTATTTGTTACTGTTGTTGGACATGTGTTTCTGGCGATAAATGGTGAAAACTTTCTTCACTTAACTGCTACGGTCTTGGAACGTCCTGATGGTGTTGTAACCAATGCCACAAAGCAGTAGTCGATGTCGTCTGCATAGCCAAAAATTTTACCGCTTGGTGCCGCTGACTTCGATAAGAAAAGTGTCCGGTTAATTTTGTTTCTAGCTCCGTCAAACACTCAAATTGGTATAAACCGCTACCTTATCCTTGCAACCCTTTTTTGTGTTCAGGTATTTTCTTTTTTGTGCGGAACTTTAGATCCACCCAAGTCCGTAAATAATAATGCCGGTTAGACAAATAGATTAAACCGCGTTTTCTGACTTACCTTTTTCCACTCTTCAACTGTGCGAGGAGGAGAACCCATGGTATATAATTTGAAACATAATTTTTTTCAGTGGTCTTCAAGGGATTGCTTGTTGCTTCCAAAAGTTGGCACCCCTCTGGCGATAGCAGGATTCTCCTACATATATTCAACTAGTGCCCGCAGCTGTACAGTTGATGATATTTTCGTGCTGGTATTAAGGAAATAAAAAAATATGTATGTTGTTAACATACTAAAATTGTGTTTATTATTTTTTCTTACCTTTTTGTTTCCATTTTCAATCAAGCAATATTTATGTTGAAAGAAAATCCTGAATTGTAATCATACGACAGCAAACACACAAGTGGCTGATTTTGACATTTGCATTCGCGTGCATGCGTAAAAAGATAGTGGACACAAAATTGCACTAAAATGCTTACGTTTTCGTTCGGTTTGATTTTCGTACAATTTTTCGTTCTGATGCATTTTTGTGGAACGGAAATGTTCTTTCCATATCGTGGAATAGGCTGTTTGTAGTTAGAGTTAAGTGGGGTTTGTAACGTTCCCCTAATTCTAACATTCGTGAAGTGTTTGTGTTTTCTCGTAAGTAAAGAGGGGTTTCCCTCGTTCCCTTTATTTCTAAGAGTATTGTGTAAGCGATCGAATTGTGTGGGGTTTTTAACGTTCCCTTAACTCTAACATCTGTGGAGGTTGTGTGTTCTCTTGTAAGTAAAGAGGTGTTTATAAAGTTTCCTTTACTTTCACGAGTATTGTTTTACGTCGTTAGAGTTGAGAAAGGTTTCAAAGGTTCCCTCAGCTCTTAAATATGTTAAGTTTGTTGTTATTAAGTAAGTAACGTGTTGTTTCCAACGTGCTTTCCTATACAGAGTATTGTGTCACAGTGTTGACGTGGAGTGGGCTCTCTAATGTTCACTCCACCATAACGTGTCAAGTGTATTTTGGAAGCGTTTATAGATGGCGCCCTGTATCGTAAACGCTGTCAATGTCATAGCCAACGATCGTTCAGCGCCGCCTAATGTCATCATCAACCATCATAATGTGCCAATGCGATATAAATGGAGAGAAAAAGTGTATAATCTAAAAACAATCAAAGTGTGCAAAAGTGGAAACCCTTCAACTAAATCTATTTAGTGATTAAAAAACAGAAAAGCGAAGATTAAAAATAAAAAAATGTTGCGAGTATTGAGACAAAAAGACCTTATTACATATCTTACGAAATTTCAGCTCGATCTGACGGGAAAAGTACAAGACCTTGGAAACGATGAGCAAGATTCGTGAGTCAAGACCACAAAGAAGGGGAGTTTGGTTTCCAACGTTCCCTTTATTATATAGTGTATTGTGTCACGGTGTTGAAGTAGAGTGGGGTTTCTAACGTTCCCTCCACCATAACATGTCGCGCGTATTTTGGAAGAGTACATAGGAAGCGCCCTGTATTGTAAACGCTGACAATGTCATTGCCATTGATCGATCAGCGCCGCCTACATTTCATTCCCAACCATCATATTGTGGCAATGCGATTCACCATTTATTTGTGTTTTTGTTTTTTACAATTCACCAAGTGATGCAAATAGAATAATGTAAACTGTATAAATGATCAAATCAAGTATATCGTACTATAAAAGAAAATATCCCCGAATTTGAGAAAACTCGTCGTCGCATGTTGATAGACAAACTGGAACCGGTTATGAACAGCAACCAAACGAGTAAAAAAAGAGTCTAAATAAATAATAATACGAAATCAAACATCATCAAGTTACATGTACACAATTTTTCTTTTTGAGCAAAGGTTTCCGAAAATTTCCGTAGTTCATGCATAAAATTGGAAGTCTATAAATGAAAAAAAAATTTACTGAGGTCAAATAATGTGTTCATGTAGGAGAAAATATTGCCAAAAGTACATTTTTCTTGGTATTTTCCCAAAATTTCGTCTCCTTTTTGAGGAAATAATTATATATTTTCAGTTTTTTTAGAATCTCACCGATATTTTCATGTTTTCGAATTTAAAAAAAGTATATTCGATATTAACTCGATTCATTTCCTTAACAAAGAAATGCGTAGAAACCCTTTGCTGTTTCACTATTCCTTATGATTCCTTAAAAATTATGTCGTTAGATTCCTTCAGTCATAAGACTAATCACCTAGTAGTATTTAATGCTGGTGTAAGCGATGGCAATATTCCTCTAACGTCTCCTAACAACGGTGGTGGTAAATTTTACCCTCCCTTCACATTTTTTTGTAATTCTCTCTTCTATTCTAATCTGATTTTTGCTTATTGTAATTTAAAATATACTACAAATAATTATAAAAAAATGTTAACAGTTTTTTTGTACAATTTAGTACACGTTACAAAATATGTCACCTCACCAGTCAAAGGTTTAGTCAATATGGCTTCCAAAGAAGCTAAGTCTTTCCTGTCCTAAACATAGCTCAAGTTATATGCGGCATCGTAGTCTTTAACTGATTTTACATGCTAACATTCCGAGACATATTTACGACCTTATATATCAAAAATTCCATAGTCACTCCAGTTGGGCCTTGTTCCATTTAACGCTAAAAGTGAAACACATAATATTTGTATTCTTTGGATGCAATCGTCTTCCAAACTCAATGCTGACGCTATGGGAGCAAGGTTTAACTGACAAAACAGCTATTCCAAAAAGGGAACCCTTGATTCTTTTCTCAAAAATCGGTATCGTCCATTTCCGAGATGCATAACAAACCAAAGATTGACGAAAATGAAAGGAAATCCATCTCTCAGTAAACCAAATTCCATACCTTCGCATTTAACAAGCTGGTGTATTCCAAAACGGAGTAGCAATGATCTCTGGTGGTTTCCTGAGGGAAAATTCGACAAAACTTTACAACATAGGCAACCACGTATCAAAAATAATGTATATACATTGATTTTATTTCGCTGTAGAATGAGATAGAAAACTTCCAAAAACGTTGCTACATGCCTAGATCCTTTAGTGGTCAAATAAGAAGTCAAAATAATACAAATTCAGACAAACGTGTGCCGGAAAACTCGAATTACAGCACGTTAAAAATTTTACAGCCTTTTTCTTAATTAAATTCTGCTGCGAGCTATGTCACTGATTCGAACAAGCGTACATACATTTAAATGGGGCTTAAAAACGACCAAGTGAAAACAATGAAATAAAGAAACCAAGATATGTATAAAATTTATTTTTACGACTTTCGAGTAAATTTCCATACAATATTTTTACATGTTCTTCATTTTGAAAGAGATTTATGCCTTTTCAGCAGCGTTCAATGCATTGCTAAGATCTTCAATTAGATCTTCAACTTCTTCCAAACCAACTGACAAGCGAATCAAAGAGTCCGTTATACCCAATTTTATCCTGTCTTCCGCTGGAACAAAAGCATGAGTCATAATAGATCTGGAATTAAAATGAGAAATTCTTTAAAGTAGCTAGTCTTGTGTTTTGTTTGAAGCTGAGGTCGAAAATTAAGAATGACGATTTTGAAGTCATTTCAATATACATTTTCTCTGACGGACCCGAGCGTATCTCAGCGACCGGAGGAAACTCGTCGTTACAGTAGTCTGGTAGAATTAATGCTTCTTTCTTCCATATAATCCGAAATAGTCGACCCGCAAATGAGGAGGATGAGGAAGAAGGTGATGAAGATCCTTCTTGCGCCTGGTAGATTCTGAAAACTAGCTACTACAAAAACATGTTTTTTTCTGTTCTATTCTGAGCTCAAGTTATTACAAGTGACATCGTAGTTCATAATTGAGATTACATGCCGTTGCCAACACTGCGAGGCATGTTTTGGCCTTATATATCAAAAATTCCATGCTTACTCCAGCTGAGCCCTTGTTGCATTTAACCCTAAAGGTGAAGCACGTGATATAGCAAATCTGACAGAACTTTCTTTCATAAATTCTGAATCAGCGAGATCCTGTATTGATACACTTGCAATGTACTAGATGAATGTCGGAAGTTGGGATCCATATATGTATTCCTGTGTTGTGTGTATATGACAAATCAGCTATACGTTTCTCAAAAATCGGCATTGATTGATGACAATGAAGGGAAATCCATCCCTCAGTCCAATTCAAATTCCATGAGTTTAAAGTTCAATTAATTAAGTGTTCTGTTTTCATTTCCACCAAAAAAGTTTCTATATTTTCTATTATCAAAGATAAAGGTTTCCGCGAATTGAAAACCGTTTTGGAACGTTTCAAATTTATTTTGCCACAATTCCAATCTAAGAAAAAAATTTAAAAAAAATGTCACTGATATTTATTTAATACTACTACAATATCGTGAACTGAGTCAGCATAACTCGCTTATGGTGTGAATGGTTGTTGGTGGGTTTATTGGCTGTAGATAAGGGTTGCGAGATTGCATTATTTGTAGTATTCAGTAGGAGTAGACTTTCCTGAGAGAATCTTTTTTCAGGTGTGTAGATGGGGTAAATCTCGAATGCCCTATATAGTAGCGCAGATGGCATGCCAACAGGGACTGTAGTTGCACTAACAGATTCCCTTCGCCGTGGCACTGGGACATGTTTGGAGAAATCAACAGGCAGGCTATTGAAGGCAATATAATTATCACTAGAAGTTTTGCTTTTGTATAGCATGGAATGGAATCAGGAAAAAATAGTGTGCAAGATTTGTACTGAACTAATTTGGGGCCATATAATATCGATTTAAGAGAAAGTTTATTTGATTTCAATCCCATAGGCGCAGTAGTTAGTGTTTCGTTGAAGTTAAGTGGGGTTTATACCGTTCACTTTACTGCAACGATTTACAGACAGTTCCACGATATCGAAAGAAAATTTGTGCGAACGAAAGCTGGTCACTCACTTTCGTATCAGAATTCGTTCCACTGACATTCGTTCTTTCTTTCGCATAGCCTTACGTGAAGCAGTGTTGCCTTTATATATACCTTTGAAAAATTAATCGCGAATTTAAGCAAAAAAAGAGCCAGAATGACTGAAATAAACGCGAAAAGCAATAAAAAAAATACAACCATACGTAAGCTGGCTCTGCCTGAACTGATAGTTCGGTTGTAAATAAACAAACAAAATAATATTCCCCGTGATAGTGTTTGAATTATTTGTGTTCTTAAAAAATGAATGTTTCTGTAGCCCTATACTTTATTGATGGTGTGGAGGAGGTTCAAAATGTTGCAAAAAAGATGCTTCGAATAAATAAAAATTGCAATAAATTTGTAAAATTAACTGATTTTTTATTAAAATAAAAATATATAATTAAAAAATTTGTTTCAACTATTAAGCAGATTTGTACATTTATTTGTTACTGTTGTTGGGCATGTGTTTCTGGCGATAAATAGTGAAAACTTTCTTCCCTTAACTGACTGGTAGGTGTTACTACTGCTACGGTCTTGGAACGTCTTGATGGTGTTGTATCCAATGCCACAAAGCAGTAGCCAAAAGTTTTACCGCTTAGTGCTGCTGACTTCGATAAGAAGAGTGTCCGGTCAATTTTGTTTCTAGCTCCGTCAAACACTCAAATTGGTATAAACCGCCACCTTTTCCTTGCAACCCTTTTTTGTTTTCAGGTATTTTCTTTTTTGTGCGGAACTTTAGATCAGCCCAAGTCCGTAAATAATAATGCCGGTTAGACAAATAGATTAAACCGCGTTTTCTGACTTACCTTTTTCCACTCTGCAATTGTGCGACGAGAAGAACCCATGGTATTTAATTTGAAACATAATTTTTTCCAGTGGTCTTCAAGGGATTGCTTGTTGCTTCCAAAAGTTGGCACTACTCTGACGATCTCAGGATTCTCCTCCATATATTCAACTAGTGCCCGCAGCTGTACTGTAGATGATATTTCGGGACTGGAATTAACGAAATAAAAAAATATATATGTTGTTAACATACTATAATTGTGTTTATTATTTTTTCTTACCTTTTTGTTTCCATTTTCAATCAAGCAATATTTATGTTGAAAAAAAATCCTGAATTGTAATCATACGACAGCAAACAAGCAAGTGGCTGATTTTGACATTTGCATTCGCGTGCATGCGAAAGTAAAAAGATAGTGGACACAAAATTCCACTAAAATGCTTACGTTTTCGTTCGGTTTGATTTTCGTACAATTTTTCGTTCTGATGCATTTTTGTGGAACGGAAATGTTCTTTCCATATCGTGGAATAGGCTGTTTGTAGTTAGAGTTAAGTGGGGTTTGTAACGTTCCCCTAATTCTAACATTCGTGAAGTGTTTGTGTTTTCTCGTAAGTAAAGAGGGGTTTCCCTTGTTCCCTTTATTTCTAAGAGTATTGTGTAAGCGATCGAATTGAGTGGGGTTTTTAACGTTACCTTAACTCTAACATCTGTGGAGGTTGTGTGTTCTCTGTAAGTAAAGAGGTGTTTATAAAGTTCCCTTTACTTTCACGAGTATTGTTTTACGTCGTTAGAGTTGAGAGAGGTTTCTAAGGTTCCCTCAGCTCTCAGTTTTTTTTTGTAAAATTTAGTCCACGTTACAAAATATGTCACCTCACCAGTCAAAGGTTAAGTCAATATGGGAAAATATGTCAAGTTATCATTCGAGCAATAAATGGTCGAACGGTAAATGAAGGTGATGAAGATTCTGCTTGCGCCTGGAGGATTTTCAGTGAGGGAAAATTAAACAACACTTTACAACATAGGCAACCACTTATCAAAATTAATGTATATGCATTGATTTTATTTCACTCTAGAATGAGATAGAATGTTTCCAAAAACGTTGCTACATTCCTAGTTCTTTAGTGGTCAAATAAGAAGTCAAAATAATAAAAAAAACTCGAATTACAGCACGCTAAAAATTTTACAGGACAGGGGCTTTTTGCCGAGGTGAAGAAGTGTATGGTGGTCGCAAAGATTTTCGGAGGGTATGTGACCTGCCTAAACAATTGGTGCAGAAACTCTCCGGTACCACAAATTGTATCCTTTTTTCGCAGGTCAATTTTAGAAACTCGGAACATTCCCGAAGGACGCGCCTCTGTGTGCATAAAACACATTAGGTCCCTCTTGTCGAATGGATCTGGCCACTGTGCCTTTGAATTGAGGAGTTTCGGCGGAAGTTTTAGTCTCCCGTAGAGGAGATGTGGTAGCCACATCTGTCGTTGAAAGTTCGAGGACGACGGGTGCAAGCTCCCGTAGAGGAGACGCCGTGCCAACGGTCCAGGCAGAGTCTTGAGGAAATGCAGACCTCGCTGGTGCAATCTCCCGTAGGGGAGCAAAGGCAACTGGTTGAGGCTAGGAGCACCTGAGGGGTAACTCCTGCCGGTTCGGACGAAAATCCCTTATTTGGCGCAGAATTTGCAGTGCAATTTTCCCGTAGAGGAGAAGCGGAGCCTGTTTGATCGGCCGTAGAGCCGGGTGAGTTGGCTGGTAGTGCCGTTGCAGGTTCCTGAAGAGGAGCCGCAGCATTGCTGACCCCGCGTATATCGTAGTCCTGGAAGCCCAAAGGAATAATGGCATCCTCAACACCTCTCTCTTCATCCGACATTGGGATGTCCTCATCGTAGTAAGGAAGGGAAGCGGCCATCTGACTCAAATTTTCCATCTGAGAAAAAAAGTGGAGATGGCATGGTAGAGAGATAAACATTTTAATCTTCGTCGGTCAAAATGACCGTCTTACGATACCGTTTTCCGTTTTTATATCAGCGAAGCGACCGGATAAACTTGGACAACGCGACCTAATTTCAAGACTATCAGTCATGGGACAGAGTGGGCGACAATTTAAGCATGCCTCAATTCTTGTTAGCAACGTAGAAAATTCTTCAAACGTATATTTCAATTTTTTAGCCATTTTCCTAAAATGAGTTTTAAAGCTTCTAACCGCAGCTTCCCAAAGTCCACCCGTATGTGGAGCTCCAGCTGGGTTAAATCTCCATGAAAGCTCTTGATAAGAAAACTTTGATCGGAGTTTATCACGAATTTCATTTAATGAAATTAAATTCCCGAGAAGATAGTCTTTGGACATCCACGACGAGATATAAATATATTAAATGCAGCCAGGAAGGTAGTGGTAGATAAATCCGAGGCTAGCTCTAAATGTATTGCTTTCGTAGAAAAGCACACGAAGACACAGACATACCCCTTTGTAATTTTACAACATCTACCTGTAAAGGATTTTAATGTCGAATGGGCCAGCGAAATCGATACCTGTAGAGGTGAAAGGCCTAAACAAAACCGTTCTTTCTGGAGGCATAGATGCCATAATTTGGGTACAAGTACGTTTCTTTGCTAAAACACACAATTTGCAATGTCTTATGGTTGACCTAATCAGTGAAGTAGCGCGAGGAATCCAGTATTCCATGCGAAGCATACGAAACATTAATTGGTTTCATCCATGGAGGGAATCTATATGATCTAATCTATGATAAGGTAAGAGAATAGGATGCCGTTCAGAATAGGAGAACTGACAGTTCGGTTGTAAACAAACAAATTGTAAATAAACAAACAAAATAATATTCGCGGTGATAGTGCTTGAATTATTTGTGTTCTTAAAAAATGAATATTTCTGTAGCACTATACTTTATGGATGATGTGAAGGAGGTTCAAAATGTACCATGGAAGCATTTAAAAGATGCTTCGAATAAATAAAAATTGCAATAAATTTGTAAAATTTACTGATTTTTTATTAAAATAAAAATGTATAATTAAAAATTTGTTTCATCTATTAACTATGATTGGTATTGTTTAGTTGTGATGGTGCAGGTTTGTACGTTTATTTGTTACTGTTGTTGGACATGTGTTTCTGGCGATAAATGGTGAAAACTTTATTCACTTAACTGCTACGGTCTTGGAACGTCCTGATGGTGTTGTAACCAATGCCACAAAGCAGTAGTCGATGTCGTCTGCATAGCCAAAAGTCTTACCGCTTGGTGCCGCTGACTTCGATAAAAAAAGTGTCCGGTCAATTTTGTTTCTAGCTCCGTCAAACACTCAAATTGGTATAAACCGCCACCTTATCCTTGCAACCCTTTTTTGTGTTCAGGTATTTTCTTTTTTGTGCGGAACTTTAGATCCACCCAAGTCCGTAAATAATAATGCCGGTTAGACAAATAGACTAAACCGCGTTTTCTGACTTACCTTTTTCCACTCTTCAATTGTGCGAGGAGGAGAACTCATGGTATATAATTTGAAACATAAATTTTTTCAGTGGTCTTCAAGGGATTGCTTGTTGCTTCCAAAAGTTGGCACTCCTCTGGCGATAGCAGGATTCTCCTACATATATTCAACTAGTGCCCGCAGCTGTACAGTTGATGATATTTTCGTGCTGGTATTAAGGAAATAAAAAAATATGTATGTTGTTAACATACTATAATTGTGTTTATTATTTTTTCTTACCTTTTTGTTTCCATTTTCAATCAAGCAATATTTATGTTGAAAGAAAATCCTGAATTGTAATCATACGACAGCAAACACACAAGTGGCTGATTTTGACATTTGCATTCGCGTGCATGCGTAAAAATATAGTGGACACAAAATTGCACTAAAATGCTTACGTTTTCGTTCGGTTTGATTTTCGTACAATTTTTCGTTCTGATGCATTTTTGTGGAACGGAAATGTTCTTTCCATATCGTGGAATAGGCTGTTTGTAGTTAGAGTTAAGTGGGGTTTGTAACGTTCCCCTAATTCTAACATTCGTGAAGTGTTTGTGTTTTCTCGTAAGTAAAGAGGGGTTTCCCTCGTTCCCTTTATTTCTAAGAGTATTGTGTAAGCGATCGAATTGTGTGGGGTTTTTAACGTTCCCTTAACTCTAACATCTGTGGAGGTTGTGTGTTCTCTTGTAAGTAAAGAGGTGTTTATAAAGTTTCCTTTACTTTCACGAGTATTGTTTTACGTCGTTAGAGTTGAGAAAGGTTTCTAAGGTTCCCTCAGCTCTTAAATATGTTAAGTTTGTTGTTATTAAGTAAGTAACGTGTTGTTTCCAACGTGCTTTCCTATACAGAGTATTGTGTCACAGTGTTGACGTGGAGTGGGCTTTCTAATGTTCACTCCACCATAACGTGTCAAGTGTATTTTGGAAGCGTTTATAGATGGCGCCCTGTATCGTAAACGCTGTCAATGTCATAGCCAACGATCGTTCAGCGCCGCCTAATGTCATCATCAACCATCATAATGTGCCAATGCGATATAAATGGAGAGAAAAAGTGTATAATCTAAAAACAATCAAAGTGTGCAAAAGTGGAAACCCTTCAACTAAATCTATTTAGTGATTAAAAAACAGAAAAGCGAAGATTAAAAATAAAAAAAAATGTTGCGAGTATTGAGACAAAGAGACCTTATTACATATCTTACGAAATTTCAGCTCGATCTGACGGGAAAAGTACAAGACCTTGGAAACGATGAGCAAGATTCGTGAGTCAAGACCACAAAGAAGAGGAGTTTGGTTTCCAACGTTCCCTTTATTATATAGTGTATTGTGTCACGGTGTTGAAGTAGAGTGGGGTTTCTAACGTTCCCTCCACCATAACATGTCGCGCGTATTTTGGAAGAGTACATAGGAAGCGCCCTGTATTGTAAACGCTGACAATGTCATTGCCATTGATCGATCAGCGCCGCCTACATTTCATTCCCAACCATCATATTGTGGCAATGCGATTCACCATTTATTTGTGTTTTTGTTTTTTACAATTCACCAAGTGATGCAAATAGAATAATGTAAACTGTATAAATGATCAAATCAAGTATATCGTACTATAAAAGAAAATATCCCCGAATTTGAGAAAACTCGTCGTCGCATGTTGATAGACAAACTGGAACCGGTTATGAACAGCAACCAAACGAGTAAAAAAAGAGTCTAAATAAATAATAATACGAAATCAAACATCATCAAATTACATGTACACAATTTTTCTTTTTGAGCAACGGTTTCCGAAAATTTCCGTAGTTCATGCATAAAATTGGAAGTCTATAAATGAAAAAAAAATTACTAAGGTCAAATAATGTGTTCATGTAGGAGAAAATATTGCCAAAAGTACATTTTTCTTGGTATTTTCCCAAAATTTCGTCTCCTTTTTGAGGAAATAATTATATATTTTCAGTTTTTTTTAGAATCTCACCGATATTTTCATGTTTTCGAATTTAAAAAAAGTATATTCGATATTAACTCGATTCATTTCCTTAACAAAGAAATGCGTAGAAACCCTTTGCTGTTTCACTATTCCTTATGATTCCTTAAAAATTATGTCGTTAGATTCCTTCAGTCATAAGGCTAATCACCTAGTAGTATTTAATGCTGGTGTAAGCGATGGCAATATTCCTCTAACGTCTCCTAACAACGGTGGTGGTAAATTTTACCCTCCCTTCACATTTTTTTGTAATTCTCTCTTCTATTCTAATCTGATTTTTGCTTATTGTAATTTAAAATATACTACAAATAATTATAAAAAAATGTTAACAGTTTTTTTGTACAATTTCGTACACGTGACAAAGGTCAAAGGTTTAGTCAATATGGCTTCCAAAGAAGCTAAGTCTTTCCTGTCCTAAACATAGCTCAAGTTATATGCGGCATCGTAGTCTTTAACTGATTTTACATGCTAACATTCCGAGACATATTTACGACCTTATATATCAAAAATTCCATAGTCACTCCAGTTGGGCCTTGTTCCATTTAACGCTAAAAGTGAAACACATAATATTTGTATTCTTTGGATGCAATCGTCTTCCAAACTCAATGCTGACGCTATGGGAGCAAGGTTTAACTGACAAAACAGCTATTCCAAAAAGGGAACCCTTGATTCTTTTCTCAAAAATCGGTATCGTCCATTTCCGAGATGCATAACAAACCAAAGATTGACGAAAATGAAAGGAAATCCATCTCTCAGTAAACCAAATTCCATACCTTCGCATTTAACAAGCTGGTGTATTCCAAAACGGAGTAGCAATGATCTCTGGTGGTTTCCTGAGGGAAAATTCGACAAAACTTTACAACATAGGCAACCACGTATCAAAAATAATGTATATACATTGATTTTATTTCGCTGTAGAATGAGATAGAAAACTTCCAAAAACGTTGCTACATGCCTAGATCCTTTAGTGGTCAAATAAGAAGTCAAAATAATACAAATTCAGACAAACGTGTGCCGGAAAACTCGAATTACAGCACGTTAAAAATTTTACAGCCTTTTTCTTAATTAAATTCTGCTGCGAGCTATGTCACTGATTCGAACAAGCGTACATACATTTAAATGGGGCTTAAAAACGACCAAGTGAAAACAATGAAATAAAGAAACCAAGATATGTATAAAATTTATTTTTACGACTTTCGAGTAAATTTCCATACAATATTTTTACATGTTCTTCATTTTGAAAGAGATTTATGCCTTTTCAGCAGCGTTCAATGCATTGCTAAGATCTTCAATTAGATCTTCAACTTCTTCCAAACCAACTGACAAGCGAATCAAAGAGTCCGTTATACCCAATTTTATCCTGTCTTCCGCTGGAACAAAAGCATGAGTCATAATAGATCTGGAATTAAAATGAGAAATTCTTTAAAGTAGCTAGTCTTGTGTTTTGTTTGAAGCTGAGGTCGAAAATTAAGAATGACGATTTTGAAGTCATTTCAATATACATTTTCTCTGACGGACCCGAGCGTATCTCAGCGACCGGAGGAAACTCGTCGTTACAGTAGTCTGGTAGAATTAATGCTTCTTTCTTCCATATAATCCGAAATAGTCGACCCGCAAATGAGGAGGATGAGGAAGAAGGTGATGAAGATCCTTCTTGCGCCTGGTAGATTCTGAAAACTAGCTACTACAAAAACATGTTTTTTTCTGTTCTATTCTGAGCTCAAGTTATTACAAGTGACATCGTAGTTCATAATTGAGATTACATGCCGTTGCCAACACTGCGAGGCATGTTTTGGCCTTATATATCAAAAATTCCATGCTTACTCCAGTTGAGCCCTTGTTGCATTTAACCCTAAAGGTGAAGCACGTGATATAGCAAATCTGACAGAACTTTCTTTCATAAATTCTGAATCAGCGAGATCCTGTATTGATACACTTGCAATGTACTAGATGAATGTCAGAAGTTGGGATCCATATATGTATTCCTGTGTTGTGTGTATATGACAAATCAGCTATACCAAAGAAGAAAGACCTTGCTTCGTTTCTCAAAAATCGGCATTGATTGATGACAATGAAGGGACATCCATCCCTCAGTCCAATTCAAATTCCATGAGTTTAAAGTTCAATTAATTAAGTGTTCTGTTTTCATTTCCACCAAAAAAGTTTCTATATTTTCTATTATCAAAGATAAAGGTTTCCGCGAATTGAAAACCGTTTTGGAACGTTTCAAATTTATTTTGCCACAATTCCAATCTAAGAAAAAAATTTAAAAAAAATGTCACTGATATTTATTTAATACTACTACAATATCGTGAACTGAGTCAGCATAACTCGCTTATGGTGTGAATGGTTGTTGGTGGGTTTATTGGCTGTAGATAAGGGTTGCGAGATTGCATTATTTGTAGTATTCAGTAGGAGTAGACATTTTAAGTTCCCCTCAGAATAACGAGGACAACAAAACTTTCCTGAGAGAATCTTTTTTCAGGTGTGTAGATGGGGTAAATCTCGAATGCCCTATATAGTAGCGCAGATGGCATGCCAACAGGGACTGTAGTTGCACTAACAGATTCCCTTCGCCGTGGCACTGGGACATGTTTGGAGAAATCAACAGGCAGGCTATTGAAGGCAATATAATTATCACTAGAAGTTTTGCTTTTGTATAGCATGGAATGGAATCAGGAAAAAATAGTGTGCAAGATTTGTACTGAACTAATTTGGGGCCATATAATATCGATTTAAGGGAAAGTTTATTTGATTTCAATCCCATAGGCGCAGTAGTTAGTGTTTCGTTGAAGTTAAGTGGGGTTTATACCGTTCACTTTACTGCAACGATTTACAGACAGTTCCACGATATCGAAAGAAAATTTGTGCGAACGAAAGCTAGTCACTCACTTTCGTATCAGAATGCGTTCCACTAACATTCGTTCTTTCTTTCGCATAGCCTTACGTGAAGCAGTGTTGCCTTTATATATACCTTTGAAAAATTAATCGCGAATTTAAGCAAAAAAAGAGCCAGAATGACTGAAATAAACGCGAAAAGCAATAAAAAAATACAACCATACGTAAGCTGGCTCTGCCTGAACTGATAGTTCGGTTGTAAATAAACAAACAAAATAATATTCCCCGTGATAGTGTTTGAATTATTTGTGTTCTTAAAAAAATGAATGTTTCTGTAGCCCTATACTTTATTGATGATGTGGAGGAGGTTCAAAATGTTGCAAAAAAAGATGCTTCGAATAAATAAAAATTGCAATAAATTTGTAAAATTAACTGATTTTTTATTAAAATAAAAATATATAATTAAAAAATTTGTTTCAACTATTAAGCAGGTTTGTACATTTATTTGTTACTGTTGTTGGGCATGTGTTTCTGGCGATAAATAGTGAAAACTTTCTTCCCTTAACTGACTGGTAGGTGTTACTACTGCTACGGTCTTGAAACGTCTTGATGGTGTTGTATCCAATGCCACAAAGCAGTAGCCAAAAGTTTTACCGCTTAGTGCTGCTGACTTCGATAAGAAGAGTGTCCGGTCAATTTTGTTTCTAGCTCCGTCAAACACTCAAATTGGTATAAACCGCCACCTTTTCCTTGCAACCCTTTTTTGTTTTCAGGTATTTTCTTTTTTGTGCGGAACTTTAGATCCACCCAAGTCCGTAAATAATAATGCCGGTTAGACAAATAGATTAAACCGCGTTTTCTGACTTACCTTTTTCCACTCTGCAATTGTGCGACGAGGATAACCCATGGTATTTAATTTGAAACATAATTTTTTCCAGTGGTCTTCAAGGGATTGCTTGTTGCTTCCAAAAGTTGGCACTACTCTGACGATCTCAGGATTCTCCTCCATATATTCAACTAGTGCCCGCAGCTGTACTGTAGATGATATTTCGGGACTGGAATTAACGAAATAAAAAAAATATATATGTTGTTAACATACTATAATTGTGTTTATTATTTTTTCTTACCTTTTTGTTTCCATTTTCAATCAAGCAATATTTATGTTGAAAAAAAATCCTGAATTGTAATCATACGACAGCAAACAAGCAAGTGGCTGATTTTGACATTTGCATTCGCGTGCATGCGAAAGTAAAAAGATAGTGGACACAAAATTCCACTAAAATGCTTACGTTTTCGTTCGGTTTGATTTTCGTACAATTTTTCGTTCTGATGCATTTTTGTGGAACGGAAATGTTCTTTCCATATCGTGGAATAGGCTGTTTGTAGTTAGAGTTAAGTGGGGTTTGTAACGTTCCCCTAATTCTAACATTCGTGAAGTGTTTGTGTTTTCTCGTAAGTAAAGAGGGGTTTCCCTTGTTCCCTTTATTTCTAAGAGTATTGTGTAAGCGATCGAATTGAGTGGGGTTTTTAACGTTACCTTAACTCTAACATCTGTGGAGGTTGTGTGTTCTCTGTAAGTAAAGAGGTGTTTATAAAGTTCCCTTTACTTTCACGAGTATTGTTTTACGTCGTTAGAGTTGAGAGAGGTTTCTAAGGTTCCCTCAGCTCTCAGTTTTTTTTTGTAAAATTTAGTCCACGTTACAAAATATGTCACCTCACCAGTCAAAGGTTAAGTCAATATGGGAAAATATGTCAAGTTATCATTCGAGCAATAAATGGTCGAACGGTAAATGAAGGTGATGAAGATTCTGCTTGCGCCTGGAGGATTTTCAGTGAGGGAAAATTAAACAACACTTTACAACATAGGCAACCACTTATCAAAATTAATGTATATGCATTGATTTTATTTCACTCTAGAATGAGATAGAATGTTTCCAAAAACGTTGCTACATTCCTAGTTCTTTAGTGGTCAAATAAGAAGTCAAAATAATAAAAAAAAAACTCGAATTACAGCACGCTAAAAATTTTACAGGACAGGGGCTTTTTGCCGAGGTGAAGAAGTGTATGGTGGTCGCAAAGATTTTCGGAGGGTATGTGACCTGCCTAAACAATTGGTGCAGAAATTCTCCGGTACCACAAATTGTATCCTTTTTTCGCAGGTCAATTTTAGAAACTCGGAACATTCCCGAAGGACGCGCCTCTGTGTGCATAAAACACATTAGGTCCCTCTTGTCGAATGGATCTGGCCACTGTGCCTTTGAATTGAGGAGTTTCGGCGGAAGTTTTAGTCTCCCGTAGAGGAGATGTGGTAGCCACATCTGTCGTTGAAAGTTCGTGGACGACGGGTGCAAGCTCCCGTAGAGGAGACGCCGTGCCAACGATCCAGGCAGAGTCTTGAGGAGATGCAGACCTCGCTGGTGCAATCTCCCGTAGGGGAGCAGCAGTGTCAGCGCCTGTTGTCGAAAGGCAACTGGTTGAGGCTAGGAGCACCTGAGGGGTAACTCCTGCCGGTTCGGACGAAAATCCCTTATTTGGCGCAGAATCTGCAGTGCAATTTTCCCGTAGAGGAGAAGCGGAGCCTGTTTGATCGGCCGTAGAGCCGGGTGAGTTGGCTGGTAGTGCCGTTGCAGGTTCCTGAAGAGGAGCCGCAGCATTGCTGACCCCGCGTATATCGGAGTCCTGGAAGCCCAAAGGAATAATGGCATCCTCAACACCTCTCTCTTCATCCGACATTGGGATGTCCTCATCGTAGTAAGGAAGGGAAGCGGCCATCTGACTCAAATTTTCCATCTGAGAAAAAAAGTGGAGATGGCATGGTAGAGAGATGAACATTTTAATCTTCGTCGGTCAAAATGACCGTCTTACGATACCGTTTTCCGTTTTTATATCAGCGAAGCGACCGGATAAACTTGGACAACGCGACCTAATTTCAAGACTATCAGTCATGGGACAGAGTGGGCGAGAATTTAAGCATGCCTCAATTCTTGTTAGCAACGTAGAAAATTCTTCAAACGTATATTTCAATTTTTTAGCCATTTTCCTAAAATGAGTTTTAAAGCTTCTAACCGCAGCTTCCCAAAGTCCACCCGTATGTGGAGCTCCAGCTGCTCTTGATAAGAAAACTTTGATCGGAGCTCTTGATAAGAAAACTTTGATCGGAGTTTATCACGAATTTCATTTAATGAAATTAAATTCCCGAGAAGATAGTCTTTGGACATCCACGACGAGATATAAATATATTAAATGCAGCCAGGAAGGTAGTGGTAGATAAATCCGAGGCTAGCTCTAAATGTATTGCTTTCGTAGAAAAGCACACGAAGACACAGACATACCCCTTTGTAATTTTACAACATCTAAATTTTCCTATTTGAAGCAACGACACGAATGTACGCTACCCCCGTGTATGCCTTTTTCAAGGCATCGGAAAAGACATGAAGTTCGACATGACAAAGAGGTGAATATTGGACCCAACGAGGAATGGATATGGAATTAACACCTTGATAGGAAAATTTTTCCCATTCACGTTCTGTCGAAGACGGAAGCGAATCGTCCCAACCGATGTTGTCTAGCCAAATACGCTGCATGATGATTTTTGCTACAACCATCCTACTGGATCGAGAAGCATGGCGGTGGTTGACAAAACTTCCCGTTTAGTATATGTGAACCGGTGTTCCAGCGGGTTTACACTGAAATAGAAATGGTCCAACTGCATTCCAGCGAATGCCCAGCGGTCTTGAACTACTAGCTTCCACGGAAGTGAGAAGCTTAACATCATATAGGTGATCTAAAGGAAGACAATCTAAAATTTCAAACTTCGCGGAAGAAAGAGCACCAATGAGTTGGTCTATTGATTTTTGCGCTGTCGTGATAACCGGCCAAGACGTCATCTACGTACATGCACTTCCGAAGGATATGTGCAGCTAGCGGAAATTCATTTTCTGTATCATCGGCCAATTGAAGTAAAGTCCGAATCGCAAGATAAGGAGCACAGTTTACTCCGAAGGTTACCGTTTGAAGTTTAAAGTCTTGAACTGGTTTGTTGGGAGAATCCCGAAATAAAATTCGTTGGAGAGGAATATGAGCAGGATCGACCCGAATCTGCTGTACATTTGCGTTATGTCGCAATTGAATACAAATTGGAAAAGTTTCCACCTTAGAATAAGAAGGACTAGGTCCAACTGAAAAGTTGGTCCGACATAGAGAATATCTTTAAGACTATTCCCGTTGGAAGTCTTGTTCGAGGTATTTAAAATCACTCCCATTTTTGTTGTTTGTTTATCCGGATCAATAGTCGGATGGTGAGGAAGATAGCAAACTGTAGAGCTTGCTGACGAAGTCCAAACCAGTCTCACGTGGTCTAATTCAAAATATTCCCGGACCACCCCATCGCAAATGGTTTTAATTTGCGGTTTTTTTAGGAGTAAAGCCTCACTCGAAAGAATTGTCGCAAGCAATTGGTCCTAGAATGACCGGTTGGCCTGCGAATTCAGGAATTATGGGAATTGTGACAATATATCTGCCTTTTGAGTCTCGTCGAGTTTTTTTTGGAAATTTATCTCACAGAATTTGTCCGAAGGAGACAAAATAGCGCGTTTAGAGGTTCTTCCAATTCCCAAAATCGAAGAAGAGTCTTGTTAAGATCTTCTTCCGGAAAGTTAATTGTGGTTGTTAAAACCGTAATGGTAGAATTGGGAATGGGACCAGTAATGATCCAGCCGAAAACAGTTCTTTGGCCATTAAAGAACCTAAGATGTTTGATTTAATTCCCTGTAAAAGGATTCTAGGATATAAATCAGCGCCTAGTAGAAGGTCAACTGGTCTAGAATCGCAGGAGTTTCTATCTGCAAAACGAATATTTGGCAAACGGGAAATTATGTCACCACCTATTGAAATAGAGGGTAAATTACCAGAAATAGCGGGAACCATTAGAGCTGGGATTTCAAAGAAAATTGATGAATCGATAGGAGAATCTATGCATAATGAGCACAATTTCCTGGATGTAGTGGAAATACTTTGATTAATGCCAGAAATCGTAGCTTGGGTCGACTTAGTAGAAATACCAAGACGATGTTGCTAATTTTCAGTGATGAAAGACGCTTCAGAAGCTGGGTCGATTAGGGCACGAGCAGGGTATGTGATGCCTTGGTGAATTAGATTCACCATTGCAGTATCCAAAACAACATTTTTGTTTTGCGAAATATGATACACTTGCCTATTGACAGAGTGGGATATACCTAACGAATTCGAGGGAATATTTTGATTCGCATTGTTGGATTGGTTCGAAGTTGATAGCGACGGAGTCGCTGCTGGTGTAGAATTTGCGTGATTTGACATCTCACGATGTAAAAGTGTGTGATGTCGCTTATTGCATTTTCCACAATTGTGTTTACTAATACATTTTTTAACTTCATGACCAACCGTCAGACAGTTCAGACAACAATTGAAGCGTTTGAGCACTGAAAAACGACCTTCTATGGATAATTTTTTGAACTCTGGACAAAAACGCAATGGGTGGACCAATTTAGGACAGAGAACGCAAGATTTAAATTAAGAAGCACTAGAAGACCCAGAAGATGCGGACTTTGTTAAGTGAGTCCGCACTTTTTTCTCAACCTTTTTTGATGACTCAATACCACGAATGTCTCGGAGATAAGTAAGGGTCTGGATCCTTTCCGTAAGAAAACGATCCAAATACTTCCAATCAGACAAAGCCGACTTGTCTTTGACCGTCTGTTCCCAAAGCGAGGCCACATGCTTAGGCAATCTTTGAATGCATATGAATATGGGATCCCAGTCGTTCGTAGAAACATCATAGATCGCCATAGCCGAAATACATCCATTAATTGCTCGTTGTAGATTTTTTAAACCAGCGCTGGACTCATTATCGAGAACTGGAAGATCAAAGAGCAATTTCAATTGGTTGTTAACTAAGATTCGGACATAGTCATATGTTTCTTTTAAGGCCTGTCACGCTAAAGCGAAACTTTTGTGTATCAGCGGAAACTTCGAAATTATGTATTTTGCTTCCCCACTAGTTTTCTTAAGTAAATAACACCATTTTTCAATGTTACTAAGACGACTGTTATTGATGTATACTGCAGAAAACAGATACGTAAATTTAGGCCAGGAAAGGAATTCGCCATTGAAAACATCTATATCGCATGACGGTACCGTATGACGCGAAACGCCAGACAGAGGCAACATTTCTGAATGAGCAGGAGAAACAACTCTTGGAGTGCTAGTTACATGTGAATTCGAGCGTTGAGACTTCAAACTTTGAATTAACTGGTCCAATTTGCGATTTATTGAAGCAATGACGTTTACATAATTAATTTCTGCAGATGTGATGTCTTCGCTTACCCCATCTTCAGAAGTTTGGAGAAATGAAAATCGAAAAGATTTTCACTGTGTATCGAATAATACACAATTGGTTTTTTTATGAGTATGAAAAAGTATATATTTAAAAAAAAAACTTGAACAAGTTTTTGCAAAATTTGGCAAAGTATGTTTCGTTATGTGCAGAAAACTACACGATTTTTGTCTCAGTGTAACGAAAAATACAGGGAATTTGATTTGTTTATCGAAATATACACAACAAAATTATTTCTGTAAGTTTCTGTTATTTGCACGGACTGTAAGATGCACGATATATCTCAAATTTATAATTATTTTTTCCAAAGAGAACAAAAAATTCAAAATACTTAATTTATATTCTTATACTATATAATAATAACGAAAATTATTATTAAATATCGAAACGACCGAATCTCTATACGGACCCGAACAATTTCCAACAGAATCGTATGTTTCCAAAAAAATTAAATTAATTTTTGGTCCGAACAGACCTAATAAACAAATTTTTGCCCAAACAGACCTTTTACACCCTGTAGTTGGTTACTGATTACCTATTACAAATCAACCAACCACGGAGTACACAGCACTATTATGTGATTGTATTGTTGTTGTGATATCCAACAGTAATGTTGTTATTGTTTATTTTGTTCTTTATGCAAAGATCACAAAATAACCAAACACAACCACAATGTATTGCACTTTTTATTTAGTTTTCTATGCTCACTAAATAGACGGTAAGTACCTTTTTAGTGATGAATTTATATAAATAAATGGATAGGCTGCGAGTGTAGGATGGTAGGCACTGGTAACTGCTGTTTTTTGACGAAGTCAAACCTTTTTCAAAAAGGGAAAAAGAAAAAGAAAGAAGCACATTAGTTTTTTTTTTTTTTTGTTGCTGGAAACACGTATCTCGGCTCGAAGTGACCAAAAATGTTGCGGAGCAGCGAAAATAAATAAAAGAAAAATAAAACAAAAGATATTAGTTTTTTATATAATTAAAATTGGCGGTTTTACTGAATATTATATTAGTCGAAAAACTAATATAACTTTACCTTTTGGACAATGGATGTTGTGAAGATGATGGACGAAAATCCGAATTACAAGTAGCTAAAAAGTAGCGAGCAAGCCTAGATGTCACAAGAGAGGCGCGAATTGACTTTGCTCATTACAATTTGTCATCACTAAATGAATAAAATGGTATTTGACAAATTGAAGAAAAAGAGCAAAGGGTTACATTTTTAAAGAAATTAAATTAAATTGAAGTTAAACAAAAACAATGAAATAAAGAAAACAAGATGTGTATAAAATTTATTTTTACGACTTTCGAGTAAATATTTCCATACAATATTTTTCCATGTTCTTCATTTTGAAAGAGATTTATGCCTTTTCAGCAGCTTTCAATGCATTGCTAAGATCTTCAATTAGATCTTCAACGTCTTCCAAACCAACTGACAAACGAATCAAAGAGTCCGTTATACCCAATTTTATCCTGTCTTCCGCTGGAACAGAAGCATGAGTCATAATAGATCTGAAATTAAAATGAGAAATTCTTTAAACACTTGAACGGAGTTTGATCATTGAAGTTATTAAAAGTAAATAAATTATTGAGTAGTAATTATGAGTATATTAATATTTTCTCTCTCTGTATATAATCAGGGCTGTCATAGAAACCAATTTTGTCAATATTGGTTTTAAAAACGACAAGAAAAAATGCTTTGGTGTCATGAAAATCAATGTTATCGGTTCTATTTTCGAATTAGAATTTTATCGGTTTTGGTTGTCATAGAAGCCAATGTTATTGGTTTTGTTATTGGAAATAAACCAAGTTGCTTAGAGCTGTCACTTTTCATTTGCTTTGGATTTTTTAAACAATTTTTAAAGGATATTAAAAGGACTAAAAATGTGGATTTTTTAAACAATTTTAAAGAATGTTCAAAGGACTAAAAATGTGGATTTTTTAAACAATTTTTAAAGGATATTCAAAGGACTAAAAATAAGGATTTTTTAAACAATTTTTAAAGGATATTCAAAGGACTAAAAATGTGGATTTTTTAAACAATTTTTAAAGGACTAAAAACTTGGATTTTTTAAAGAATTGTATAAAACAATAAACGTGGATTTTTTAAATAATTTTTAAAGGACTATAATATCCTATAATACGAACACTTAAAACATTTGTACTCTATATAAGGAAAAAAGCCTACATGAATAAGCGACGGAATAAAAAAACAATAAGTGTGAATGAATGAATAAAAGCCTATGATATAGAAAAAGGGGATTCCGCGTTGTTCTTTTTTTTCGAACGTTCCCACGCCTCACATTTCCGCCCCTGCCGACCAAGGGGGCGACCTCCCTTTACGGAGGGATCGCGTACACATCATGATCCGCATCATAATGGGAACTCAGTATGAAATTTGAAAACCAGCTACAGAATCTAATTCATCAGCTAGTTTGTCAAATAATAAAACATGTATGTTAATTGTTTAAAAATAAAATTATTCTAGATTTAATAACTTCTAAACTCATACAAAAATCTACATTACAATACACAGAATTAAAGTCCACACACATTTTACTAAGAGGTTCGCCCATTGAATAATTCGTGCGGTGAAAATCAGTATATAATAATTGGTAGTATCTACTAGATCTAAACGGAACATTAATTCTAATAGATGAGATTAGGAAATCTGAAGGTATATTACCATTTAATATTTTTAGTACAAACATGGAGTTCAACATAATACGTCTGCTTTTAAGTGTAGGCAATCTAATTAATTTTAGCCTGCTAGCATAAGAAGGCAAAACAAAATCACTATTCCAATGTAAACCTCGTAAGGCAAATAGCAGTAATTGTTTTTGCACGGATTCTATTTTATCTGAGTATATTGCATATTGAGGATCCCATACAACAGAACCAATTCTATATTCCAATATAGATCTAACAAGAGACGTAAATAACTGTTTTGTTATATATGGATCAGAAAATTCTTTGGCCCACCTTTTAACAAAACCTAAAACACCATTTGCGTTATATACCATTGTTATTACATGGCTATTAAAATTTAATTTTGGATCCATCAAGAGGCCTAGTTCGACAAATGAATCTACAGTTGATAATGAATGACCGTCAATATTATATTGTAATATCAGAAAAGAAGATCTGGAGAAGCACATATGCTTACATTTGCTTTAATTTAAATCAATATAATTTAACATGCACCATTTAAAAAGGCTATCTAAATCATTTTGAAGTAAACTAGCTCGTTTATCACAATTATGGAAAATGAATAATTTAAGATCATCTGCGTACATTAACAATTTCGAGTAATTTATGGAATTAGCTAAATCGTTGATAAATAATAGAAAGAGGACCGGTCCAAGGTGACTTCCTTGCGGAACACCCGATGGAACGTTAATCGTTTTGGATAGATACCCTTCAAACAAAACTAGTTGTGATCTATCTTTTAAGTAAGATGATATCCATTTGACTAAGTTTGTGTTGAAACCCATATAATTTAATTTATATATTAGGAGTTCATGGTTAACCCTATCAAAAGCTTTACTAAAATCAGTATAAATTGTATCAGTTTGTTTACGTTGAACAAATCCTTTTATTACTGTTGACGTAAATTCTATAAGATTTGTTGTAGTTGAAGGACCACTACGGAAACCATGCTGATATGGACTCAATATAGATTGAATTTTCTGTGAAATTACTGCAGCAATTAATTTTTCAAACAATTTTGGTATGGCACTTAATTTTGCAATTCCTCTATAATTTGACACATTAGTAAGACTACCAGACTTATGTAAAGGTATAATATAAGATTTTTTCCAGAAAGTAGGAAAGTGACCAAATTTAAGTGAATAATTAAACAATATAGTTAACGGAAGTACTACTGTTTCTGAACAATATTTAAGAATTATATTAGGTATGCCATCCGGTCCTGGACATTTAATCGATTTTAAACTACGCAGACTATTGGACACATCCTGACGTTGTAAAAAAGGCATACAAATTTGATCAGCCTGTGATAACTTATAAGGATACGAATCTTTAAGTTGGCAAGATGTACTGGAATAGGTTGTGGCAAAAAAATATTTCAATACTGAGGGCTTTGAGGAAGTATATTTAGGTCTAGCAACAGAGTAATTAGTGTAGTCTATTGTTAAGCCTGATTTTTTATATTTACGAAAAAGCTTATTTTTAGAGTTTTTTAAACTTGATAACTCAGAGGTTATCAATGGATATTTATTTGAATTTTTAACTCTAGTGGTTGGAACCCATTCCAGTTTAAATCTATTTAAAATATCATAAAATTTATCAACTACATATTCTAAATCTGTATGGTTGTTACACAGGCACACAGAAGCCCAATTTACGGAGGAAATGAGGGTATTAAATTTTCGAAAATTAGTTTTTTTGTAATTAAGGACAGTGTTAAATAAGTCGGACTGACTTTCTTCAATTACATAAGTGTGAGTCATGGAGATATATAAAGTTGGATAGTATATATCTTCAGGAGTGCATATTGGAGGAATTCTGAATATATCAACATGCTGTGTTATATTTACAAACGCCAAATCAAGAATTTTGCCGAGGGAATTGTTCACACTGTTTATTTGATAAAGATTTAAGTCACACAAACTATTTATAACATCAAATGTATACTGGGTACAGTTCATTTCGGATGGCAAAGGAATCAAAGCTTCAGAATCTGGCATTGGAAGCCACCTAATGGAGGGCATATTTAAATCACCAAGGATCAGAATGCGATCGGAATCTTTCATTTTTCCAGTGATTAAATTTATTGCTGATAAATGCTGATTATAAATGTCAAGTGAAGATGAAGGGGGAATATAAGAGAAAGTTACAAACAATTTAGATATGCCCAATTCAATGGAAACACCAACAAATTCTATATCAAGAAAATCATTTAGATCAATTAAATTAGTGGTATATTTGGTATCAACTGCAATAAGGACACCACCACCTTTTTTACAAACACGATCTTTTCTAAATAGTTGATATTTTGAACATAAAATTTCACTATTTAATATAGATGTTTTTAACCAAGTTTCGGAGAAAACCAATACATTATAATTGAAACCAATGCTATCAGTATATAAACTGTACGAAAATATTTTCAGGCACAACGATTTTGAAAGAAGATCTACTTTCAGAAAATGCAGATCGGAGCTTATAACATCTCAAAAAGTAATCTCCCTCAATTTTTGATTTTATATAATAGATTATGTCATCGGCCGTTGTTTCTGGCGCAAACCTTGTTGCAAATATCATTTTCATGGCGGGAGCCATAGATAATGATCTTTGGACAGGTTGAGTTTTGCCAGTAGCAGTCTCGGGACGATCACTAGTGATAAGTGAATGAAGTGATAATTCCTGTATGTTACGATTAGATTGTGAGGTTTTCTTAGAAACCTCACTATCAATACTCATAACTTCAGGTTTATTTACCCATTTAGCTATACCGCTGTTATCTACCGGAACTGGGTGTGTAACAACACTGGCATACGACTGTTCACGTCCAGTCTCAGTTGTTTCAGTGGTATTAACTGAAACCGGTTGTGGAACAGTGTTCTCCACAGAAACTATTGCTTTGCGACTAGGCATTCCCTTAGTTGGTGCCTTTTTCGCAGCCCTTTTGCGTTTCTGGCAGAAACTGACGGTGACGACACAAACTCATCTAATTCTTGGTATTTCTCAAACAATGTAGAGAAATTCTCAAATCGGAGTGATAGTGGGGAAAAATCTTTTTTCATCGATGTCAATTCCGACTGCAAATCCTTTACAAAATTATAAAAGTCTGCAGAGAGTTTCCTACATTGCACACAACACCAACGAACACCAACATTATTTCTAATTGTGTCTACAACTTTTGCATTAATCTTAGCACATTTTGCATGCCATTGATTAATTCAAAACCAACAGGTAACACACAATTCATCCTCTGCAACAATATTACACAATTCAAAGGGCACGACATTTTTTATTTTAATCATAATTATTTCTTTTTTAATACACAAGTTACAACTATATTTTTCAAGATTAGATCTGTAGCTGGATTTTTGTTATTTATTTATTTTATTCTTTTTTAAATTCTTTTTTAAATGTTGGCAACTCTTATGAGATGACAAAACAAAACAAGACGATATGTTACAACAACTAATTAGCTAATGTAACAAAAGAACGAGGATAAAAGGAGAATGTACAAATACACAATTTGAAAATTGATATTACTTTAAAAGACAAAACAAGATTTTAAAACACTACACCAATTATCACTTTGAGTTACAAAATCACTATTGAACACTTTAATACACTTTTTTACCGGATTAATTAATTTAATGAAACATATGTGTTTTGTTTGATGCCCAAGGCTTTAATACACCCTCCAGAATATTTTCGCGATAATATTCGGCATTTAGTTGTTGCAAAATGGTCAGACTTAATCCCATTATTTTTGTTTTTATAAAAACAACGTTTGTTAATTATCATTCTGATGCCACGGTCGATTAATATTGGCTGTTATGGCGGCCCACACCATCACCATGGCTGACAGTTCACCACTTTCGGCCAAGCGAAGCAGCTAAAGAGTCTATTTTATTCCTGTTGCGGTGAAAGTTCTTGTACTGTTTGGAATTTCAATGCCTTTACTTCGAGCTCATTTTTTAATATTTGCCGAATGGAATATTGCGATTTGTTCAGCTCACGAGCCATTTTTTCGGCCACTACGACGCGGGTTTCGATCATGTCGCTTCTTTATTTTTCGAACCATTTCTGCTTATGTTGCTGTTTTCTTCCGTCCACTTCCTTGACGTCGGGCTACGCTACCAGTATCACGGTAATGAGCGATTGTGCGAGACACAAAATATTTATTCACATTTAAATGCTGGAGTGCTTTAACGATAGCCACTTGTGGTTTTCCAGCCAAATATAAAGAAATCACAATATCACGCTTGAATTCCATCACGAATAACTTTTTTTCTGTTGAATAACAATATAACAATTTTTTTAAGTTGAATAACAATATAATGGATAAAAATAACTAAAAGGTGAAATCTAACAGATTATGGGCCCAGTTAACGCCCGAGATAAAAGATAATGGATAAAGGAAAAATATATATTAAACCCTCTGACGGTGTCAACATAAAATCTTATGTTGATCAAGGTAATATACTTTGTGGATTCTAAAATGCTTATTTCGATTAGTTACAAACGCAATGACAGACATACTACGGTGTAAAATATGTCAGTAGCCATGTAAGTCAAGAAATTTCCTTAAAATCCGAAGAAGAAATTGACAATGCAGTCGAAATTTTTATAACGATAGTCAATACGTCCGTCAAAGTTGCAAATCCCACAAAATTTTCTAAATCAGAGAACGACTCCTACCGATCGTTCGAAATCTCGTATCCGAAAAAAGCATATGCTCAAAAAATTATTAATTACGGCTACTAATCTTATGATTCACGTATTTAACAGCTTTTGTCGAGTAGTGTATTTCCCGTCGGCATGGAAGCATACTATGGAGGGTATATTAACTCTATCATTCCGTTTGTAACTCCTCGAAATACTCATGTTAAACCCAACAATGTATATATATTCTTGATCAGCGTCGTCTGTCTGTATGTTGTAATCTATTTTTGGAAGAAATGAGATAGAAGCCAAAAATTTGCACATATGTGTATTTTGTCATTTTGAAGATTTAGATCACTTTTTCATGCAGAATTGTTCAAAATATTTAGATATTTAGAGCACGTAAGGGATAACACCCCCCCTTTGGCAGAACATTGTCTATATAGATCCAGTTTTTCTTATAGCCCCTTTATAACTGTAACTCCTCAAGAAATTTGGTACTTATGGTTCGTAATGGGTTGTACCTCCTGCAGCAGAACATTATCTATATAGGTCCACCCCCCTATATAATAGTGTCTCCCGATATTCGGTATTTAAGATTTAAGCCAATTTTTGTACATAGAGTTTATAACGGATTGCACCTCCTGCGGGGTCCACTTTTTCTTATAGTTCCCATATAACTGTACCTCCCCAGGATTTAAATCACATTTTCAAACGGAAATGTTTAATATTCGTACTTAAGAGTTTGTAACAGGTTGTACCTCATATAGCTCCCATGTTTCAGTACTTTTCTATATTTGGTATTCTGATGATTTCAATCACATTTTCGAATATTTGATATTTTGGTGATTTTAGGCACTTCGTCAGGTAACAGGTACCATCGACGTTACATTTTTAAGACTTTTTTCCAACCGATTTCACCAGCAAAAATGGAAGTTGATCCAATACTCAAATCCAATCCTCATGTCGGTTTAGTGTTTTACACTAATATATGGAAGTATTTTTGATATTTGCAAAATAAAAAAAGTTGTGATGTACAACCATATGTGAATGCTGCTATAGTATATAGGATATTAAATTTTTTTATTTTCATTCGCCTATGTGAAATTTTATATGTTTTGAAACAGTTTGTAATAGATTAAAAACAATCTATACATATATCGAAATCATGAATTTGTATTGATACCGTTGCTCAACAACAACGTCGACGGTAATAAAATTGAGTACGCAATTTATATACGGATATGTATACAACTGTTACTCAGATAATTCATGTTCCATTATAGGTTCTATGCTCCATACGTTAAAGTTAAATTCACAAATATTTTTATAATGAAGGGTGACTTCTAAAAAGTATCAAGCATACATTGAAACGACGTTTTAGAGGCCAGCCTAATGTGCATAACATAACTTCGACTTCATTTACTTACGGTAATTCAGCCAGACTTTCATAGCCACCAAGACTTTCAGCAAGAGCAAACATTTTAAGACTTCTCAAAAACTCATTCGAATTTTTTAACTCTCCTTTCAGGTAGAACGAAAATACTCCGCTATAACCATATGTTTGTTTTAAAGCAACTTTATGGTTAGGATGTGATGGAAGTGCTGGATGGAGAACTTTTTCAACATAATGATGGTTCTCTAAAAATTTAGCTACAGCCACAGAATTTTTAAAGTGCTGCTCCATACGTAAAGCTAGGGTCTTAAGTGATCGATTTACTTGGTAGCAATCAAAGGGGGACGGCACAATACCAACAGCTGGAAGTAAAGAAAAGAAGAATGGAGGAAGAACCAGTTAATAAATGATTCTTTACACATATTTCTAACAAAAATATATTTAATATATATATATATACATATATATATATATATATATATATATATATATATATATATATATATATATATATATATATATATATATATGTATATATATATATATATATGTATATGGGTATAATTAATATTAATATCGCATCCTAAATAAAAACAAACATTGTTATACATAACAGCGTTGTCTAAAATTCGACGTGGCGACGTGGCTTCCTAATTACAAACAGTCACACTTTTTGTATTATTTGTTTCTATTTCAAACACACAAAATAAAAAATTGTTCAATTGTCAATGTTAAAAATTTTCAACATTATGTGAATAATTGTCAATGATATATTGATTTATTGTTCGTCTCGGGCATCAATTTGAGTGATTTATGTTAAGTTTTCGTCTATAACAAACCTTGCATTACGTTATATTTCGCAACGTGTGTTTTGGGTTGCTGCTTCCCACAAAAATAATAGACCGCACCAATGTTCTGTTGGTACCTTATGCCAGTGGGCCAAAGAATTTTCTGATCCATATATAACAAAACAGTTATTTACGTCTCTTGTTAGATCTATATTGGAATATGGTTCTATTGTATGGGATCCTCAATATGAAATATACTCAGATAAAATAGAATCCGTGCAAAAACAATTTCTGCTATTTGCCTTACGAGGTTTACATTGGAATAGTGATTTTGTTTTGCCTTCTTATGCTAGCAGGCTAAAATTAATTAGATTGCCTACACTTAAAAGCAGACGTATTATGTTGAACTCCATGTTTGTACAAAAATATTAAATGATAAAATACGATCAGATTTCCTAATCTCATCTATTAGAATTAATGTTCCGTTTAGATCTAGTAGATACTACCAATTATTATATACTGATTTTCACCGCACGAATTATTCAATGTGCGAACCTCTTAGTAAAATGTGTGTTGACTTTAATTCTGTGTATGAGTTTAGAAGTTATTAAATCTAGAATAATTTTATTTTTAAACAATTAACATACATGTTTTATTATTTGACAAACTAGCTGATGAATTAGATTCTGTAGCTGGTTTTCAAATTTCATACTGAGTTCCCATTATGATGCGGATCATGATGTGTACGCGATCCCTCGGTCGGCAGGGGTGGGAATGTGAGGCGTGGGAACGTTCGAAAATTAGCACCGCGTTGCCAAGCTCTACCATCAGCGTGTCGTTCCTGTGTGGAAACTTTTGCTTTCGTCTCTATCGGATCAAAGCCTTAGTGGGTGGAAAAAAATCCAACCCCATAGGAAGGTACCGAAGTACGTCGGACGTACGAAATTACAAAGTTGAAAATTTTTAACATTGACAATTGAACAATTTTTTATTTTGTGTGTTTGAAATAGAAACAAATAATACAAAAAGTGTGACTGTTTGTAATTAGGAAGCCACGTCGCCACGTCGAATTTTAGACAACGCTGTTATGTATAACAATGTTTGTTTTTATTTAGGATACGATATTAATATTAATTATACCCATATATATATATATATATATATATATATATATATATATATATATATATATACATATATATATATATATAAATAAATATAAATATAAATATATATATATATATATATAAATATATAAATATATATATATATATATATATATATATATATATATATAAAATTCGACGTGGCGACGTGGCGACGTGGCTTCCTAATTACAAACAGTCACACTTTTTGTATTATTTGTTTCTATTTCAAACACACAAAATAAAAAATTGTTCAATTGTCAATGTTAAAAATTTTCAACTTTGAAATTTCGTACGTCCGACGTACTTCGGTACCTTCCTATGGGGTTGGATTTTTTTCCACCCACTAAGGCTTTGATCCGATAGAGACGAAAGCAAAAGTTTCCACACAGGAACGACACGCTGATGGTAGAGCTTGGCAACGCGGTGCTAATTTTCGAACGTTCCCACGCCTCACATTCCCACCCCTGCCGACCGAGGGATCGCGTACACATCATGATCCGCATCATAATGGGAACTCAGTATGAAATTTGAAAACCAGCTACAGAATCTAATTCATCAGCTAGTTTGTCAAATAATAAAACATGTATGTTAATTGTTTAAAAATAAAATTATTCTAGATTTAATAACTTCTAAACTCATACACAGAATTAAAGTCAACACACATTTTACTAAGAGGTTCGCACATTGAATAATTCGTGCGGTGAAAATCAGTATATAATAATTGGTAGTATCTACTAGATCTAAACGGAACATTAATTCTAATAGATGAGATTAGGAAATCTGATGGTATTTTATCATTTAATATTTTTGTACAAACATGGAGTTCAACATAATACGTCTGCTTTTAAGTGTAGGCAATCTAATTAATTTTAGCCTGCTAGCATAAGAAGGCAAAAAAAATCACTATTCCAATGTAAACCTCGTAAGGCAAATAGCAGAAATTGTTTTTGCACGGATTCTATTTTATCTGAGTATATTTCATATTGAGGATCCCATACAATAGAACCATATTCCAATATAGATCTAACAAGAGACGTAAATAACTGTTTTGTTATATATGGATCAGAAAATTCTTTGGCCCACTGTTTAACAAAACCTAAAACACCATTTGCTTTATTTACCATTGTTATTACATGGCTATTAAAATTTAATTTTGGATCCATCAAAAGGCCTAGATCGACAAATGAATCTACAGTTGATAATGAACGACCGTCAATATTATATTGTAATATCAGAGAAGAAGATCTGGAGAAGCACATATGCTTACATTTGCTTAAATTTAACTCCATACAATTTAACTTGCGCCATTTAAAAAGGCTATCTAAATCGTTTTGAAGTAAACTAGCTCGTTTATCCCAATTATGGGAAATGAATAATTTAACATCATCTGCGTACATTAACAATTTCGAGTAGTTTATGGAATTAGGTAAATCGTTGATAAATAAAAGAAAGAGGACCGGTCCAAGGTGACTTCCTTGCGGAACACCCGATGGAACGTTAATCGTTTTGGATAGATACCCTTCAAACAAAACTAGTTGTGATCTATCTTGTAAGTAAGATGATATCCATTTGACTAAGTTTGTGTTGAAACCCATATAATTTAATTTATATATTAGGAGTTCATGGTTAACCCTATCAAAAGCTTTACTAAAATCAGTATAAATTGTATCAGTTTGTTTACGCTGAACAAATCCTTTTATTACTGTTGACGTAAATTGTATAAGATTTGTTGTAGTTGAAAGACCACTACGAAAACCATGCTGATATGGACTCAATATAGATTGAATTTTCTGTGAAATTACTGCAGTAATTAATTTTTCGAACAATTTTGGTATGGGACTTAATTTTGCAATTCCTCTATAATTTGACACATTACTAAGACTACGGAAGTGCTAATGTTTCTGAACAATATTTAAGAATTATATTAGGTATGCCATCCGGTCCATGACATTTAATCGATTTTAAACTACGCAGACTATTTGATCAGCCTGTGATAACTTATAAGGATACGAATCTTTAAGTTGGCAAGATGTACTGGAATAGGTTGTGGCAAAAAAATCTGCAAAACATTCAGCAATATCTGTGCCTGTGACAAATTCTTTATTGTTATATTTCAATACTGAGGGCTTTGAGGAAACTTTTCGTTTTAGATTAACAAAATCATAAAAAGATTTAGGATTGGATTTTAAATTATTTTTAATCTTGTCTAGGTAAAGATTATACAATCTACGAGACTCTAAAGTATATTTAGGTCTAGCAACAGAGTAATTAGTGTAGTCTATTGTTAAGCCTGATTTTTTATATTTACGAAAAAGCTTATTTTTAGAGTTTTTTAAACTTGATAAATCAGAGGTTATCCATGGATATTTATTTGAATTTTTAACTCTAGTGGTTGGAACCCATTCCAGTTTAAATCTATTTAAAATATCATAAAATTTATCAATTACATATTCTAAATCTGTATGGTTGTTACACAGGCACACAGAAGCCCAATTTACGGAGGAAATGAGGGTATTAAATTTTCGAAAATTGTTTTTTTGTAATTAAGGACAGTTTTAAATGAGTCGGACTGACTTTCTTCAATTACATAACTGTGAGTCATGGAGATATATAAAGTTGGATGGTATATATCTTCAGGAGTGCATATTGGAGGAATTCTGAATATATCAAAATGCTGTGTTATATTTACAAACGCCAAATCAAGAATTTTGCCGTGGGAATTTTTCACACTGTTTATTTGATATAGATTTAAGTCACACAAACTATTTATAACATCAAATTTAACATTATTACTGAGATAAAATTTAACATTATTACTACCTCGATTGCACTGAATTCAACACAGCAATATACTGTTCTGTAAGACATAATATAATCAAAGAAGAATTTACTCATTCCTTTTCATCTCTCGGGAGCAAATTCTTCTATTGATTGTGATACAAAGCACAAATTCTGGGGACCTAGAATCATTACACCAAAAGGTTAAAAACTTTCAAACTGCATATAGTCCGCTAAACAGGGTCTGACATCTACCGGTCAGCCAAGCCTCCGACCTACAAAAACATCCTGACTTAAATGCCTTTGCGGTAACAAAGAATATTAAAATCCATTCCCAACTATATTTCGTTCCTTACTATATCAAGAGTGACTCTCGATTTATTACCACTTGACTTGATGGCTTTCACGGCCGATTGACTATCAATATTTATAGTCTCTGGTGCTGTTATGCTACTGCAGAGTTCTTTCCATTTCGGCTGGCTCCTTGATTTCAAGGATCCTCGCAAGAAAACGCTGCAATTGTCATTAAGCTTATAAGTGTTTTATAATTGGGTTAGGGTAGAATATGCCAGTACCGGTGACTTCATCCGTCTTGGAACCGTCTGTTTCTATGGCCAGACCGTCTAGAGCAGGTTCGTCAGCAGCTCA